CCCTTTTCCTATGGTAGTATGAAAGGCTCTTCAGTTCCTTGATCATCTCAATAGTCTGCCTTCACACCTGCTCCGAATAGAGTATTTCTCTGAGGTGTGGCTCTGTGTGCAGTTTCCAGTGGGTCTGTATTTCTACAAAGCCCTAATGTTTGCCCATCCCTAGTGGTGTGTATGTGCCTATGAATTCTAGAGTCACGTTTGTCTTTTTAAAAACCATGCGAGCATGGTTCCCAAGTCTTTTTATTAACTATCTTACTTGGTTTCTGTATATCCAAGCTTGCATTTAGATTATTTTTGCACTTTCACATGCCATACTGATAACTGCCTAGTAATACTGATTATGTCACTCAAAGGGCAGAGCACAGTGGTGGGAAATTCTGTCATAGTTGTAGAGGCTGATTTGGTGCCTGAGTCTCACCATGTAGGTTTCGTCAGGGCATGAGGAAACGTGGAACATAGATTAGGATGGCTTTGCACACTGCAGCCCTAAATGTCAGTATCATGTGGCTTTTGAAGATCAAAATGCAACTAAATACTTCTATAAACCAATTCAAGAAGTAAAATGCTAGCTTTTGCCAAAGTCCAAAAATTGTATTTTAGCTCTTTTTTTTTTTTTTTTATTGCAGTACAAGTGAAACAGCTTTGAGGCAAAAAGTACAGGGAAAAAATGGATGGCAGGAATAATACAAATCTGATAGGGTGTTGTGGCTTGTTGTGGTTGTAGTTACCACAGCTGGCTCTCACTTATGCTTTAGCCCCAGTTATCATACATTTTTTGACATAAATATGTTTAAAGTTGATTGAGATGCAGGCATGAGCATTCATCAGGCTTTCTGAGGTTTGTGAGAAAACTACACTTGATCTTTATTGCAGTGTCCCTGTTGTAGTGAATCTTGAGCATGACAAGTCACAGTGACAGCAATCAAATCAGCTGGTAACAGCTTAAACCCATTAAGGGCTTGCCTAGAAAGGGCAGGCAGGCAGGGGGATGTAGTGGTGAGGAAACTCCTGCATCTGGCATTTTTCCTTGTCAGTGTTTTAAGACTTCGTAAAACAGAAGCACCTACATCTCTCTCTACCACACTGCTCTGTTATTGTTTAGTATTCGGATCTCTTGATTCTCCATACCAACAAAGCATAATGAGATACAAGTTGGGTAAGTTTAAATTCATAATTTGACACAGGTATCAGAGATAGTTATTCTGAGTCAGAGGTGTGTGGATTAGTTATCCTACATCCCATCACTTTGGCCAGGTAGAGAGGTGTAGGAAGAGAATCCAAGGACAGACCAGAGCTGAACCCTTCCTGGCTTCCAGCAGCGGAGGGTTCAGGGGCTCACTAACCACAGTGGTCAGTAATCACTGAGACTTCTGCTGTGTGTGTTACTCAGGTAATTAAGCACTTATTTACACACTGTCTGAATACTCCGCTGTCCACAGCAGCCTGTGGCTAAGTACCAGAACTGTTGTGTGGCAGTAATACTTCCTTAATTAAAATTTTATTTGGTGCTTTTTGATTTCTGTGTTTTGAGAAACAGCAAATAATTGTTCTGTTTTCATCTTCAAGACATTTATGGTTTTGTGTGCCTGTCATAGTTGTTACCTTGTCCAGGCCTGGAATATTTTAGGCTATTAAACCTTTTTCAGAAGCTATTTTATACCTCTGCTTGTGCTTTTTTTTTTTTTTTTTTTAATATATTTTTTCTTTTCATTATCCTTAACATACTTTTTTTTCCTGTTAAATTCTATTACAGTGTAGGTTATAAGAGGCATGGAAATAAAGAATGAACTAATCAAAATTAAATCCTTTTGCAGCCTGTGCATAATGTACGCACTTGTTTGGCCAGTTGGCTTTTAAACTTTGAAGATAGAAGCAATGCTTTTGTTCTTAAAGTAGTTATTTGCAGCAGTGTACAAACCTGTATTGTTTAGAATGCCTCTGGACACCGAGTATTTTTTTCTTATGTTAGTAGATGTGGTGGATTGGTATGTAGTATAGGACCAGTCATATTTACAACCTGACGTCTTGTATGGTTAGCACAACTTCAATATAAGAGATTTCTTTTTGATCTCGCAAAGCGGTCATGGTGGTTATTATAGTTGAATTTGAGCTATGCCAGAGAAGGTGGAATTAATACAGAAGTAAGAAAAAACAATACCGCAGCATGTTGGACGCAGCCAAAGCATTATGTGGCAATTGTAAACTTAGAAATACTGCCACCTGATGAACAAAGTAAAAGAAAGATAGCTTGAGGACACACTGAGGTGTTTTATGGAACTACGGCCATAGGATTTCTTGCAATATTACAACAGTATTCTTGCTTATATTACTACTGAATTTATCAAGGCATAAATTAGTTTGTGCTTTCACATGTTAGTTCAGACATCACTGAGATTTGGGTTTTGTGAGGCAACTTCTGCACCTTTCAGGTTTCTTTTCAGAGATAAAATTATTGGGCAATTCCTATTTTGCTGCATGGCTGTATGAATTTTTCTGTGGACACAAAAAGCTGTCCTGCTGTCACCCTTACAACTAAAGCAACAGTATGTTCACTGGTGCCATATAACCACTTAATGTGAAAATATGAGTCAACTTGCCTTTATTAATTCTTTTTCTACAGAAGGCAATTATCTTCCTCCTGAAGTTTTAAATTAAGCTTTTCTAAGCAGTTCCTTTCAGTTGAAAATAAATAGCAGTCGTATAGATAGCAACTGGGGAATTGCTAAATAGGTCCTACAGACTTGGCTTCCTTTTTAGTTTTTAATTTTTCCAGACCTGTTCTTATTTTCTGCTATTCTAAAGTTTGCTCAGCTCCTCAGCTGTGCATGTCCTCGATGCCAGGCTCACATCGTTCCCCAAGCAGTGGAGCATGCTTCAAACTTCATCCATCCTGCAGTGCTTTCAGGCAGTGATGGCCTTAGATAAAGTGCAGTAGATGAGTATCTGGGTTCTCACTTGTACACTATATTTGTATTTAAACAGTAGAGCTGTTCTAGTGTTGTGTTGTAATGGAACTTGAATAATGCTACTTCAGGGCTCACAGAGCTATACTTGCAAATTGCTTCTGCCCCAGAGCTTTTGTTTGCCTGCAGCAGGTAATTGCACTCAGTTCTGGACTGTCCCTTCTGTGGAGATGGGGATATTTTCTGAGTTGTCATGTTCTGTATCGAACAGCGTTTATAGTGGGTCATGTCAGCATCTTGCGGTTCCACAAAGCTCTTAAGGTACAGTTTGACTTACAGTGTGCTTTCAGCTGTATCAGGGTAATAATTCAATTAAGTGTACGGAGAGAGGTTGTTGCAATGGCTTTTAGCTGCAAGGCCATGGTAAGGCTAGGAGCAAGGCTGTGTGTTTTGGACCATTACTAAAGGTCAGTGTTAAACAGTTTCAAGGGCCAAAGAACCTCATGTGTTTGGTTGAGACCTCATCTCACTTACCCTGCCCCAACAGCATGAACAGTGTCTTGCAGGAGGGGTCTGTAGGCCAGGAGACACCGGAATGTAATGTATTGGTGGATATTCTACATCACTTAGAGAAGCTTCTTTTTAGTGCTGTGTCTTTCCCAGCTGCATTTAAGGCTAGGTTCACGTCTTTTCTGTGACGGGTACCTGCTTGTTCTTTTCTTAAGGCAGGTTTTCGTTACATGACTGTGTGCAGGTGTATGCTAGTTATCACTCGTCTCTTTATGTGACCTGCTGAGTGGAGCTTCATGCACTAAGTGGTGGAGGCTTAGGTATCCATCTGCTGAGAAGTGTCTGTCTAAATATGAATGTCCCATTCTTGTGTTACTGGAGGAGCAGTTTCCCCCTTACCTGGAATTTCTTTACTGGGAAGGTGCAGAGAGACCTTATATTTACCTTTTTCCTCCGGAAGACTTCTGACTTTGTATACTGTTGCTCTGCTTGATTCTACACTATTCCAGCCTTGGTTTATAGTCAACATCTTGGAGCTGCTGTAGCTCCTGAATCCCTTATAGATAAAGAGATTTTAAGCAACAGAAGGGGCAAGCTGATGTCATTCTGTTAGTTTTCCTGCTGCTATTCAGAGATCTGTTGGAAGCAATGCAAGCTGATTGGTCTTCTGCTTCTGAAATAGAGACTGTCTGAAAAGCAGCAGAAATACTCAAGCAGTCCATGTATAGTCCTGTGAAAATGTTGTTCTCTTAGTCATGATGCCTGCTTTTCTTTCGCCAGCTGGAAAAATTTTGTGGAAATGATGGCTTTACTACAAGAAGAATTAGTTTTGGTCTTGGAAAATTCAAATCCTGGTCAAAATAAAACCTTTACATTCCTAAGACTTGAAGTTTTTTTATTATTCTATTTTTTTCTTCTACTGTACAGCTCTGTGCACAGCTGCTGTTATAACAGACCTGTCTAAGCAAGTCTAATACACAGGGTGCATAGTAATGTGCTTCAAGCAAAATGATGAATAAGTAAATTGGATACTGTTTTTACTTCTTTTTAAGTAACTGCATACAATACATAAAAAAGCATATTCATTTACAAATATGTTTCAAGTTTCTGAAACCTGAAATGTGACAACAAATTAGTCAAACGTAGTGTATTTCTCCTGACAGCAGCCTCTCTTGTTTTCTTAGGCTGCCCTTTTAAATGTTGCCTCATTGGCTGAAGGCATGGCATACAAGCATCGCTTGTTCTTGGCAAACAATGCAGCTTTACTGCGCATCTTCATATGAAAAGCTTCATGCTCCTTCTCTATCATCACCCTGTACTTGATCATGAAGCACTTGACCACCCATAGTGTGCTGTGCATCAAGCACATGCTGATAATGTAGGAGGAATATAGAAGCAGCAAAGGCTCAAGCTACAGTTTGTGTGTGTTGACTGCTGATGACTCCTTGGTAACTTATTAATTTGTGAGCATCAAGCTGTTTGAAAACTGCATTTCTCTGACTGTGCTTTTGTGTGAATATTAAGCTGTTTAAATATTGCATTTCTCCAACCATGCTTTTGTTAAATAAAGATACCTTATTTTTTCAGGTTGCAGTTGTTAAAATGAAGTGTACAGAGCGTATTTATGCAATGAAAATTCTGAATAAGTGGGAGATGCTTAAAAGGGCAGAGGTAAGTAGTATGGTTCTTTAATGCAGAGAATTTTTTAAATGGCATTAGGAAAATTACATTGAAGCTCTTGAAGGTTAGGAAGAATTATTTTGTGAACATAGGAGCTGGATTTTTTTTTTCTTTTTTTTTTTTTCCTTAAGCTGTTTTAATGCAATCAAGTCTGACAGTCCCTTCAAGGCATCTGTTGTTCTCAGCACTACTGCGTATTCATTTACCAGACAGTCTGCCCTAGTTCTTAACCTGAATTTATTGGCCAGATTTTTGTTGTTTTATAATAAAGGCAAGTTAAAGGCTACATGAAAGCCGAAATTGGTGCTCCTGTGACATTTACAGCTGTATACAAAAACATCAGGAAAGGTCTTTTTTCTCCTGCATTCAGAAAGCATACATTAAGGAGCTTTGCATCCTACAGTTTGTAACAGGATTTATATAACTGGTGAAACTATAAGTAAATATTTTGGAATTACAGCTTCAGACTCTAAAACAAAATGTGTTAAGAAGGTAAATCTGTTTAAGGAGGGTATTTTTAATAAAAGGGGTTGTACAGTGTCACAACAAATTATGTAAATGTGAACAGGTACTTAACAGATTAGGAAAGGACCTACTAAGAATATGCCATGGGAAGTGGTATATTCCTAGGATACCTACTCTTGCATGAGGAAAACCTTATGGCAAGTCTAATGTTACAGTCACAGAATCACAGAATCCCAAGGGTTGGAAGGGACCTCAAAAGATCATCTAGTCCAACCCCCCTGCAAGAGCAGGGTAACCTAGAGTACATCACACAGGAACTTGTCCAGGCTGGCCTTGAATATCTCCAAAATAGGAGACTCCACAACCCCCCTGGGCAACCTGTTCCAGTGCTCCATCACTCTCACAGTAAAAATGCTTTTCCTGATGTTCACATGGAACCTCCTATGCTCCAGTTTACACCCATTGCCCCTTGTCCTATCACTGGACATCACTGAAAAAACCCTAGCTCCATCATCCTAACACTCACCCTTTGCATATTTGTAAACATTGATGAGGTCACCCCTCAGTCTCCTCCAAGCTAAAGAGACCCAGCTCCCTCAGCCTCTCCTTATAAGGGAGATGTTCCACTCCTTTAATCATCTTTGTGGCTCTGTGCTGGACTCTTTCAAGCAATTAATGTAAATGAGCAATAGATGAGGAGAAAATGCATGTAGTGCATCAATACTTGCAGCAGTTCTGTTAAGGGCAAAGGCTAGCTGTTTGCTGAGGTCTGCGCATGGTGACCCTTCCCTGTTCCATTCTTCTATCCCCTTCTGACACCACCTCCCCTCCCCCCCCCACCCCAGCCTACCCTTCCTAGTCCTTCCCTTCCTTTTAGTGAGTCATTGCCAGCTAGCTCTTTTCCTGTGAATAAATCTCCTCCCTCTTGTTAAGCCCCTCTTCACCATAGCCTTTGCCTAATTCAGTCACACTTTGTCCATCAGACCATGCTCTGCTTTATGGTGGCAGCCACTGCCATTCGGCATTTCTTTGAGCTGTCAGGAGAGTTCACACTCTTGGCTGTGCTGCATCAGCAGTTCTGCATTAAGCCTTCCCCTGTATGGGAGAAATTCAGTGCCCTTTCTACAGAGATTTCAGTTGGGTTAATTAATTGGTCAGTATAGAATTGTTTTAAACCCAAATGCTTGTAGGACTTCTCAAACTCTAATGAAATACAGCTATTGCTGGCTTGTTTCAGTCCTTTTAAAGTGATTTAATTAAATGGCCTATCTGAATACCTGAAACTTTTACGTGCAGAAATGTTCTGAGAAGACCGCTGCCTACACATTGTCTTCAAAGTGTACAGCTGACTCCTCTTACCCTGTCAGGCAGGCACAACAGGTAGAAGAGGGTAATCCACCAAGAAAAATGTGAAGTGAGCAACAGTTTTCCCAAGTAACAGTCCAGTTAAGTTCTCTTTCAGTTGATTTTTCCCCAGCTGCAAAGGATAATAAACTGTCTTCTCTGCTGTGCCCCATTGTCCTTTCCTGTTCAGTTAGCTGGCTTGATTTAGCTTTTCTGGATAAGCAAAGCTTTATAACCTGCATATCAAGTTCATAAAACATCTGGACATTAAAATTTCCCAAATGTGGTAAAACTTGTTAGTTTTTAAAATGAAGCCTGCAAGAATAGAGTAGCCTCTTGAGCAGGCAGTTCCACTGAAAAGCAGACTTTGTTTTCATATCCACTGTATAAGTGGTCTAAGAAGCATGTTGTTGTACTAGTTTGTTTTGTATGACTCATTGAATGTAGCAAAAAGTTACTTAAATACTGCTTATTTGTGTACTAGCTGCAAGAAAAACCCCATATGGTCAGAAACCACTAAAATACAGTAAAGATTAGTGAGTGTCAACTGACATCCGTAAATGGGTTGCAAAGTAGGTAGGCATGCCATTTATGTTGATAAGGTGGACCATTTGTATTCCTTGTTCTGACAGCAGAATACATAGTCATTAGTGTATTACTGTTGACAGTTGCAAATAAGTCCTGGCTGACTGATGAGGTAACCTGTCATACTTTTTCAAGGCACGTCTCATGGCCTTTTAAGCTTAGAGTAAGGGGAGAAGGAGAGTTTTATACTTTGAATTCATGATGTGAGGTGTTCAACCGCATTACTGGTTTTGAAGTGTTAATAACATTCCCTCGCTATTTGAGGTGGCATAGTGAACTGGATCAAGGAGCTGATGTCTTCAAAAATAAACAAACTAGTTTTCTGTGTTGGCAGCCTCTTTGCATCGTGGTGCCAGAACTGAGAAGTGCTGTGCTCTGGTGCTGTGGCCAGAGGATAAGATTACTTAGAGCTGCTGTTGCTGCCAAACTTTTGTAGAGTGATACTTTGGCCTTGCATTCATAAACCGTTAAACCACTCTCAGTTAACATTTAATTGCAGTTTACATCTGTCTGCACCAATAATTGCTAACTTTACAACATAGCCACAGTATGGTCATTTTCAGTAGAAATGTAAACTGACTTATGCTTCCTTAGGGGGAAAACTGTTTGAGATACCTTTACAAGATGCAATCAGCTTAGGCTTCCCAGGCACATTCCTTCTGTAGTACATTTTCAAAGACATCCGGACAAGTAACAATTGACAAACAAACAAACAAACAAAAAATTACTATCTAGAACTCAAAACGCTTGAGTCTGCAGCTGCTGAATATCTTCATAATGGCTGTCTGAATTGAGAGTAGTGGAAGAGTCCCACCGTCCTGCATCTTGATGATTCTGATCCAACAAAAGTGTTGGTGAGGCCGCATCTGGAATATTGTGTCCAGTTCTGGGCCCCTCAGTTCAAGAAGGACAGGGAATTGCTTGAAAGAGTCCAGCGCAGAGCCACAAAGATGATTAAGGGAGTGGAGCACCTCCCTTATGAGGAGAGGCTGAGGGAGCTGGGTCTCTTCAGCTTGGAGAAGAGGAGACTGAGGGGTGACCTCATCAGTGTTTACAAATATGTAACGGGTGGGTGTCAGGATGATGGAGATAGGCTTTTTTCAGTGATATCCAGTGATAGGACAAGGGGCAATGGGTGTAAACTGGAGCATAGAAGGTTCCACGTTAACATCAGGAGGAACTTCTTTACTGTGAGAGTGACAGAGCACTGGAACAGGTTGCCCAGGGGGGTTGTGGAGTCTCCCACATTGGAGATATTCAAGGCCAGCCTGGACAAGTTCCTGTGTGATGTACTCTAGGTTACCCTGCTCTTGCAGGGGGGTTGGACTAGATGATCTCTTGAGGTCCCTTCCAACCCTTGGGATTCTGTGATTCTGTTAATATATTTTTATAAAGGAGGACTTGCTTGAAGTTATGAAAGTTGGTTTTATGTAAAGATGTTAAGAAAACCTGTTACACAGAGCTTCCTTCTCTGAAGTTTTGCAGTGTACTATTTGAGGTAGAGGGAAGATTATTGAAAATTAAATGCACTATACTCGACAAAGGTAAGCTAATCATAGAATCTGCTTATTTCCTATAGTGTGTTGCCAGTGTCTGGAACTGTAATGTAAGAATTCATCTCTTTCTGCAAAGGTCTTTTTTAGAAGAACCAGTCTTAACCTTTGTAGAGTCATTATCTTTCTGATACAGATTGCAGTGACAAGTTACATTTTTCTGGCTCTTAAAAATACAGTGTAGAACAAAGATTCAGCGTTGACTTGAATTGGTTTGTGAGCTTTTTTGATGGTTTGCAGGGGTTGCGTGTTGGTTGTGGGGGTTTCTTTTGGCTTAGGGAGGGGGAGAAGGGAGGTGTTGTGTTGTCTTAGGGGTTTTTTATAAGGTTGCAGTCAGGATTAGAGTGACTGAATGCTTGACTGCCGGTCTCCAGAGATTCCCTGGCTTGTCACTTGTGCATACTAAATTCCAATGAATAGAGACCTCTGTTCAGTAATTTTAAATAATCCCATGAAACATCCATATATATTCATCCTGTGAAAACTACTTGTATGTTGACAATGGCTTCTCCCCGCTCTCTTCCTTTAGACAGCTTGCTTCCGAGAGGAGAGAAATGTCTTGGTGAATGGAGATTGTCAGTGGATTACTACGTTGCACTATGCCTTTCAAGATGAGAACTATTTGGTATGTTTGATACATCCATCGATGAAAGCTTTAGGTTATGAAAGAACTTTATTTTTGGTACATTTAAAGATATTATTGCAGTAAATCAGTCTGCCTCATGCCTCACAGCAGTGTTTCAACATTCTTGTTTTCTCCTTGAAGCAAGACTTCAAAGGGACTGACTGTAACTCCAGGAAAGTGAGAAATTCACATAGTACTATAGTATATAGAGGTTAAGTTAAGCACCTTTAACTAATCTACCCTTGTATAAAATATATCAGGCTTAAGTTTAGTGTTTTGGGTAATATTGCATTTAAATAATTAGAGAGGTGTTAACTCTAAAAGTAAGAAATATTTTTATTTTTATTCAAAACTATCAGAATGTCTTTTGAAGGAAGACTTTCTCAAAAAATGACAAAAGTATTTTACATTTTGATTTTAAAAATTGTTATACTGGTATTTTGAAAGTCTCAGAAGAAAAAGTAGCCTATTTCTTAAAGTATTTAAATACACTTTTAAATGAGCAGATTGGTCATCTCAGTACCTACAACTACAACAACTCCCATTACATTTTTTAATGATGGCTTACTAGAACTGTAACAAGTTATGTTTATCATAGTCACAGAAGTCCTGGTCAGGAGCAAAGTCAGTAAAGCCCCAATGTACTGCAGTATACTGAACCATACAGGTTCCATGTGGCTATGTGAGGTGGGGTTTGCAAGCCATCTATTTCTGTAACAGCTGGCCTACTTGAAATGTGAAAGTTTTCACCTTCTCAACACTTTTTAGATAGGACACAGTAGCAAGTCATGATTATAAATAAGAAAATACTATGATAAAAGGCTGCTAATGAGTTCAGGAACTAAGCATAGAAAAGAGAAAATACTCAAAACATTTTCACAGATGCTGAAACAAAACAAATTATTTTGACTGTCATGTTTAAAGTATTTTCAGAATAACAAGCACATCTAAGCAAATAAGTAGTCAGGTCTTAGACCCTCATTTACAGGATATTTCCATTGAATACTTTGTGATAGATAGAGGTTTTTAACTTCCCAAAGGCTAGTTATCTCTCGCACTGCCTCATGAAGATAGGTCATGATTTCAAATTCCTTCAAAACCAAGCAGCCTTCAGACTTACATAAGAATAACCTAAATTAAATATAACATATTTCCAAATAGCTTATAAGAATGGAGCTACCTGAGAAAAAAATTAGCTGTACAAGATAGCAAGCAGTAATGGTGACAGAATAAAGAGGAATCTAGTGTTGCCAATACCATCCTGTACAAATCTGTTCCAAGCAAGCTACAGCAGTATGATGAATTTCTTTTCCTGAAGCTCCCAAAGACATTTAGATGTTGAAGATTCACTTGATGGCCGAATTCAGACATCTAGCATCTAATTTAAGACCCAGTATCTAAGAAAGCAACAACTCTGTGTGACATCCAAAGTCAACAGATTCCCAGCTTGCCTGAGGTCTGCTTCTGCATGCTGCCTTATAATTTGGTCTGTTACTCAGCATCCATCTCATGTAATTGTCTAGTGCTCACAGATGAAGTATTTCTGCATCTCAATCACTCTGTTGTAAATGATGAATGAAAAAAGGTGAAACACATCAGGAAGTGACTTCTGTCCAAAAACCTGGACAGAAGGTTATCTTCCACACCAGTGGTTCACTTGTCCAGGGCCTAAAGGATTTCTTTTAGTTCTCTGCTCAGCTTGAAGAAGTTCATAGCCATGTTTTTCCACATCTCAGTAGAGTGCTGTTATGTTACAGAACCCGGACTGATTGCATTTACTTTTTATCTGTGCTGTTAATCTTGGTCCTAGTAGAATGGAATGCAAAGCTGAGAACAAAACAACAGGCATAAAAGCTTGATTCTCCAACCTGGAGTGGACAACAGTACTCTGAAAGAGAAAGCACTAGGTTCTGGAATCTACTCCCAGTGATGTTTGTGCATAATAGTGAGTGATTATAGAATCATAGAATAGTTAGGGTTGGGAAGGACCTTAAGATCATCTAGTTCCAGCCCCCCTTCCATGGGCAGGGACACCTCACGCTAAACCATGCCACCCAAGGCTTCGTCCAACCTGGCCGTGAACACCGCCAGGGATGGAGCATTCACAACCACCCTGGGCAACCCATTCCAGTGCCTCACCACCCTAACAGGAAAGTATTTCCTCCTTATATCCAATCTAAACTTTCCCTGTTTAAGTTTTAACCCATTACCCCTTGTCCTGTCACTACAGTCCCTAATGAAGAGTCCATCCCCAGCATCTGTATAGGCCCCCCTTCAGATACTGGAAGGCTGCTCTGAGGTCTCCACACAGCCTTCTCTTCTCCAGGCTGAACAGTCCCAACTTTCTCAGCCTGTCTTCATACGGGAGGTGCTCCAGTCCCCTGATCATCGTCGTGGCCCTCCTCTGGACTTGTTCCAACAGTTCCATGTCCTTTTTATGTTGAGGACACCAGAACTGTACACAATACACCAAGTGAGTCTCACAAGAGCAGAGTAGAGGGACAGGATCACCTCTTTTGACCTGCTGGTCACGCTGCTTTTGATGCAGCCCAGGATACGGTTGGCTTTCTGGGCTGCAAGCGCACACTGAAGCTGGCTCATGATCATTTTCTCATCAACCAGCACCCCCAAGTCCTTCTCCACAGGGCTGCTCTGAATCTCTTCTTTGCCCAACCTGTAGCTGTGCTTGGGATTGCTCAGACCCAGGTGTAGGACATTGCACTTGGCATGGTTAAACTTCACGAGGTTAGCATCAGCCCACCTCACAAGCGTGTCGAGGTCCCTCTGGATGGCATTCCTTCCCTCCAGCTTATCAACCGAACCACACAGCTTGGTGTCATTTGCAAACTTGCTGAGGGCGCACTCAATCCCACTGTCCATGTCACCGACAAAGATGTTAAACAAGACCGGTCCCAACATCGATCCCCGAGGGACACCACTTGTTACTGGTCTCCAGCTGGACATTGAGCCATTGACCACAACTCTTTGTGTGTGGCCATCCAGCCAGTTCTTTATCCACCGAGTGGTCCACCTATCAAACTGTTGTCTCTCCAATTTAGAGACAAGGATGTCATGTGGGACAGTGTCGAATGCTTTGCACAAGTCCGGTTAGATGACATCAGCTGCTCAACCCCTGTCCATCAGTTCTGTAGCCCCATCATAGAAAACCACCAAATTGGTCAGGCAGGATTTCCCCTTAGTGAAGCCATGCTGGCTGTCACCAAGCACCTTGTTGATTTTCATGTGCCTTAGCATGCCTTCCAGGAGAATCTGCTCCAAGATTTTGCCAGGCACAGAGGTGAGACTCACTGGTCTGTAATTCCCTCGGTCATCCATTTTCCCCTTCTTGAAAATGGGAGTCATATTTCCCTTTTTCCAGACATCAGGAGCTTCACCTGACTGCCATGATTTTTCAAATATGATGGCCAGTGGCTTAGCAACTGCATTTGCCAGCTCCTTCAGGACCCGTGGATGGTCCCTGCCCATGGCAGGGGGGTTGGGACTTGATGATCTTAAGGTCCTTTCCAATCCTAACTATTCTATGATTTCATCAGGTCCAATGGACATGTGCACACTCAGGTTCTTAAGATGGGTCTCGAACCAGATCCACTCCTACAGTGGGCCTAAGGTCTTTCTTCTCACAGTCCCCGCGTCTGCCTCCCAAGACTTGGGTCGTCACTTTGCCAGTGAAGACCGAGGAAAAGAAATCATTAAGAACCTCAGCCTTCTCCAAATCCAGGGTAGCCAGTTCTCCTGATAGCTTCCAGAGGGGGCCTAAGTTGTCCCTAGTCTGTCTTTTATTCACTATGTACCTATAGAATCCCTTCCTGTTATCCTTAACATCCCTAGCCGAGTTTAATTCTAACTGAGCCTTAACTTTCCTAACCTGGTCCCTAGCTTCCTGGACAACATTCCTGTTTTCTTCCCAGGCCACCTGTCCTTGCTTCCACCTTTTATACGCCCCTTTTTTCCTTTGAATTTTCCTCAGCAGCTCCTTATCCATCCAAGGAGGTCTCCTGGCCCTCCTGCTGCACTTCCTTCTAGTTGGGGTGCAACACTCCTGAGCTTGTACCAGGTGATCCTTGAATATCAACCAACAGTCTTGGGGGCCCCCCTGCCCTCTAGGGCTATATCCCATGGAACCTTACTAAGCAGGTTCCTGAAGAGGCCAAAGTTTGCTTGCTTGAAGTCCAGGGCAGTGAGCTTGCTGCACGCTCTTCTCACTGTCCTGAGGATCTCGAACTCGACCATCTCGTGATTGCTGCAACCAAGGCTGCCCTGGAGCGTCACATTTCCAACAAGCCCTTCCCTGTTGGTGAGCACAAGATCAAGCATGGCACCTCTCCTTGTTGGTTCCTCTATTACTTGCAGAAGGAAGTTGTCTTCCACACAATCGAGGAACCCCCTGGATTGCTTGTGCCGGGCCGTCGTGTCGCTCCAACAGATATCAGGGTGGTTGAAGATTCTTAAATACAAAACCACGTAAGCTGACCCTGAAGCAGAGAGAGAACCTTGGTGTCTTCCCACACCTAGGGTTGCCATCATTCTCTGGCTGCATGATAAAAGGTTCAGAATGAGAAACATAAAGAGAAGGATAAGTTGTTAAGGTAGAAAAGTAGTAGCTGTCCTTGGGGAGTCTGAAAGTGATGGGGATTTATGCCCTCTAATATTAGTAGAGCACATGGTGATGCAGAACTTATATTTCAGCAAGAAACAGTTCTACAAAATGTATATGTTCTGAAGTTCATTTTCTGGTTCTTCTGTAGTTTTAAAATCTTTGAAGAGGCACGTACAGCATGTGGTAGTGTTTTCTATACAGACAGTTCTTAAATGACATGACATGGAAATGCTAGCATGGCTTTTTTCTGATTCTTGGAGAGCTTTCATAGAGACAGTTTTGAGTCAAGACAGGTTAAGTAAGCCTCTGGTGATTTTGCTGAAGCAGATAGTGTGTATGTGAAACACAGTCCATGAATACGACAAATGTGTATGGGACGTCTCTTCCAAATTCACATCTGTTAGTTTTCCGGTGACTTACCAGAAAAATTTTTTTCCCATTCTCATTCACAAAGAAGGGCATATGTGTGTTTGTCTGCTGTGAGCCTGTGACAGGCTTCTGAGTAGTCATGAGAGTATTTTGGTGTCTTTTCTTTCTTTGATTTCCAACTACTCTCACCCTGTTTGATGTAGTCACTTCCCTGAAAGAAATGCAATTCCTGTAGATTTTAGTGTCAGAATAGTCTTTATTTTAAACCTATGTGAAAGGAGAATTGCCTCCTGGCAAGACTGTTGTGAATTGGAAGATGAATAAAATTTGTCTTTCTTACAGAATAGGTCTCACCATCTCCCTCTGATCCAAGCACCTCATTTCATGGGTCAGCTGAGTTCTTGCTGAGTTCTTAACACTGTGGGAGCTGAGGGAAGTTCATTACCTTGCCTCTGACAGGAGGATATTTCAGTTCCCACAGAAAGCTCTGTAAACTCTCTTAGCTTTGAATTTGAGAGAAAATACTTTAATACAATATCCCTTTTAAAAGATTGCTAGTTCCTGTCTGTAGCCTTTTGTTTTCAAACATAGTTGCATGTGTACAGTCTTTCAACATGTTTAAAATTCCTTGATGGGTTGTGCAGTACGAAGTGATCAATTTTACATAAGTGATGAAAAATCAGATTATGCTATACTTTGAATAAGATGGAGAAAAATAGAAAAACCTGTGCCTTTTGGAGTTGCTCTTTTAAGCCAAAAGATAGCAAGGAAATTATTCGTATTGTGCTTGGTGCTCCTTTTTGGGTTCCTATTTTCTTTAATTTGCTTCACTTGTGGAAGATCAATGTATGGCAGGGACAGTGGATGGTAGGGTGCTTTACTAGAGTAGAAGAATAAGATAACTGTTTTGGAAAGCTTCATTCCAGAATAAGCAACATTATTTCTAAAACCATAGATCAAATCATCTTGGGAAATACGGAACAAAGTGGATCGACTGGTACTACTAGGTAATCATTATAATTGAAGTGATTTAGGTGGATATTGCTAGGAAGTAACTAAAATGTAATCCTTGTTTTAAGGTGTGAAAAACCAATAGCAAGTCTAAGTCCTTTTATTTCAAGTCACTCTATCTGTGTCTTTCCATAGACAGGGTAATGGATGATTGGCCTAGGAGGCTGATTATTTTTTTCAATTAAATATATGCAGAAGAACATTGATGTTTGATTTTTAAATTTCCCACTGTAGTGCCTCTGGCTTGACAGTGTTTCTGACTTGTCACAGGAGCTCCTAATGTATAGTGTTATCAAGTTCCTGCCAGCTATGTTATGCATCCGTGATGCAGAATGTGCTAAGATGGGTATTTGAAGATGGTGATGTGATAAGTTTTGAAAGAGTTAGTGGAAGAGTTTTGAAGTTTGGTTTTTTTCAGGGGTTAACTCATGAACTTTTTTTTTTTTTGTTTCCTTACCAGCTGTCTCTCAGTACTTGACTGCTTTATTTCCTCCTTTTCAGTATCTAGTGATGGACTACTATGTTGGTGGTGACTTACTGACACTTCTCAGTAAGTTTGAAGACAAGCTTCCTGAGGATATGGCTCGGTTCTACATTGGTGAAATGGTGCTTGCTATACATTCCATACATGAGCTGCATTATGTGCACAGGTAAAATACCATCTCACTGGGCAAAAATACATGTATAGTTATATGAAGTTGATCGTAATGATACTGCTTCATATACAGGTGAGCACAGTAGCCACAGGCAAATTACTGTGAGTACTTGCTATATGCTATATAATAGCCGTATAAGCTATTACATTTTAAATACCAAGTTTTGATGGATTGATATTAGAAGCAGTGACATTTATCTGACTAACCTTTTACTAAAGCTTCTATTTTTAATCAGGCTTCTTGACTTCTTCTCAATTCACTTCATGAATATTTATCTGCCTTTGTCCAAGCCAACCTAGAAGTTAGAAGCAGTTTAAATTCTCTGGAAATGTTTAGACATTCTGCAAAGTTATACACAGTAAGCCCATGATGATATCAGTGCATCTGTTTACCTGAGGTCATCTTTCAAAAGTTTTGTAATGAGAAGACATGTGCAGGTCTAATTGTTTTTTCAACACAGGATGCGTATTCCGGATCAGTGCTAACTTAGGTTGTGTTTTGTAGTATTTAAGAATATATAATGTTCCTTGTTGTCTGTCAGAGGAAATGGGTCAGCAAGGTAGAGTACACTTTTTATGCTGCTGCTTTGGCTTCCTCTAAGAGCAACTGTTTTAGAGGGGCTGCGAGTACTGCATGTGAGGCACTTGATAAATATTTTGTTCCATTATGGCAAAAGTCTTGATCAGGTGAGAATTTCAATCTTTTGTTTGCTTTTCAGATTTAACACCTGTGTATAACATGTCAGTTAGGAAGCAAAATTATACTAATTCTGGAAAGCCTTGTAGTTGTCTTGTTATATACTGACTTTATAGCTTGATTTCAGTAATCTCAGAGGTTTTTTTAATTAACTGAAATCTGCTTATGGCCATACAAGTAGGTTCATGATAAGTCACTGGAAGTCCTGGCTGAGAAGTGGACTTCATATATAACATTGTATCTGGTTTGGCAGGTAAAACTTGGCCAGGTCCCTTTACCTCTTTATGCCTTTTATCTTAGTCTGTGAACTTAGGACAGTTGTACTGTCTCTCTTAAGAAATTTGTGGTGTAAAACATCAGGTAAGTGAGGTGATTCTTATTTGCAATTAAATCATTAAAAAGACAGGGAATTCTCAAACTATAATGCTTTGAACTATTCTGCTTGGACTTTGATCACTGTTTCAAAAATTAAAAAGATAAAAGATGCATAAACTCTGCAATACCCTTGTGAATATTAAATGTTGTGGACTCAGAAGTTTACCAGAGACGTCATTGCACCCATTTCCGAGGAAGGTGGCCTGACAAAATGACCAGCCTACATCTTTGCATAGGGCTGAATGAATGTCTGTTGGGAAAATAGGAATGAATGGCTCCAAGGCCAAAACATACACTTTGAATAGGAGATGTATGAATGCCCAAGAAATTACTGCTTGGCAACTGGAATGGATTAGGAGGAAGCATGATTGCTCTGGAGAGGATTTCAAGGACCATTTAAAGGCTTATATGACCTGTTAAGCCATAGATAGGAAACAGAGACCAGGCATTAAGCTTTTCTGAACAGCAACAGTGTTCCATTAGGCAAGCGAGATCTGCATGCAAAGTGGAAATGCAGAGTTGTATTGGATGAGATTGGCTCATGCTTTGAATGGCACTGTGAGAAGTGTCCTTTAAAAAAAAAAAATAAACAAATCTGTGTATAGTTGTATATAAGCTCCAGTAGTCCTCTGCAGTTACTGAGCTTGACTTGTGCTTAGGGGACTGTAAGGGAATGTCGACAATATGTGGAACTGAAATGTATGGAATAAGTCTAACAATAGAAAATTACCAATGAGTTTAGTGGGAGTGTATAGTGAGATGGTCTAATTTTCTGGGTTAGTACATATTTTTCTGTATTATACAAATAAGTGTGCATTTAATTTGACAGGCATAGATTAGCATTTACTATTTTGTCTTAATACCGTTAATGAGAAGCAGTATTAGTGAAGTTTCAGTAATTAATCTCAAAGCATTAGCCCTTGATTAAACAGTGTTAAGTCAAGCTTGTATTGGAAAAAAATATCAGATTGGCAGGATTTTTGCACATACAAGGACCCTTGTTAAAGCTATCATGGTTTTTCTCTGGAGTCTCCTCAAGTGTGAAGCTGTGGAATTTAGCACCTTAAAAATCAGACATTATGTGCTTCCACATATATGTAGAAAGGGAGATTAGATTTTTTTTTTTTTCCCTACTTCCTAGTAGTTCTAGTCTCTTCCTCAAAAATTAAGTTGAAGCTATTGCAAATTTTTTTAAGTTTTTTCGGCGCATGTAGTGGTACTTGGAATTTCCCATTTGAAAGGAAATACAGGATTTTATGGTGCAACAAGACTGGTGGGTTTAAGGTAAAGCACATATGGTTTTATTATTAATAGATAATATTATTTGAATAAATATATCTAAAAAAACCCCACAAAGCAACACATTTATAGGCTTGATTATCTTCCTTGGCTAGCTCAGATAAATAATATTTGAAAATGGCATGCTAATATGCTAGCATACTAGAAGTGGATCCTGGATGTACTGGCTAAAGAAAGGAAAGGAGACTGGCATATGCTATTTTGGAAGACATGGACATTCTCATTTTTAGTCTGAAGAATTGGTGCATAGCTGAGTTGACTTTGGTTTCTGCACTTGCTCTTTTCCTTTCTCGCCCTCTTCTCCCCATATTGGCTAGGTGCTCTTAAAATCATATCATAAAATCATTGGGATATTTTGAGACAATTAAAAAATGTGTGTATCAGGACTGTCTTACGAAGGTGTCTGCATGATTGATCTTTTACTGATACTTTAGTTTGTGTGAATTTGAGAACAAAGTGGTGAAATAAAATGTGATTAATTGGTGGACTAAATTCAATTAACATGCTCTTCAGTAAATCCTTTTTGACTTCCTTCCTGGTATCAAAAAGAATATCAAGTAATGAGCTAGAGTAAAATGGGCATCTCTGTTTCATGGCATTTAGTAGCCTTAGCATGCTGTATAATGTTTTATATATATATATATATATGTAAAAATAGGAAAGACACTGCTTGATATTGGAGACTTTCTAATATTAGGGTATCCCCTTGAAATGGCATTTCCCTGATCCCAGAGCTGAGGGAATTCACTGGCTTGTAGAGTAACTGCTGCAGGTACATAGGATGCAAAGGTTTTCAGGTATCCATAGAAGCAAATGTGCTGTGCAACAGTGTACAGAAAGTCTGGAATAGCAGATGAAAAATACTGGCCAAATGGAAATGCTGGACAAAATGTAGAGAGTCGTTAAAAAAATCTTCCTAGGTAAGAAGTCAGAAGTTAGTTACCAGCTTTGGTGAAAATAGGAAAAAAAAAAAAAAAAAGACAAGATTAAAAGATTACCCATTCTCTTTCATCTTTCTTGCTTTTAAACAATGTATTGTGATGCCTGATCTAGCTGAAGTTGTCCCTGATCATTGCAGAGGAGTTGGACTAGGAGACCTTTCAAGATCACTTCCAGCCCAAACTATTCTATGATTTTATGAGTATAATCATAAAATTATGTTGATGAAGTAAGCTGCATATCCATTTCTGTCAATATGTCTCACTGTAATTGTTCTGCTTGGTTATTTGACCATACATCGATAAACTTTGAGCTTGAAAATCTGATGTAATGCAAGGGTTTAATATTTTGGGCAAAGTTCTAAGTTGGGCAGGAGGAGAGGGTTTTAAGTAGTCTAATAAAAAGAGTTTGCATCAGTGGGCATCCAGCATAAAAATCCTTGTTATTCTGATTCAAGATTAATCTTTACAAGCAGAACTAATACTTCATATTTAAATCTTTTTTTCACTCCTTGCTATTATAACAGGGACATAAAGCCTGATAATGTTCTTTTGGATGTGAACGGCCACATACGGCTGGCAGACTTTGGGTCCTGTCTGAAAATGAGTGAAGATGGCACAGTATGTATGAAGCAAAATTTAATGGGAATTTTTAAGTGAGTTACTTAAAGCTATTATTCATTGTCAGTGTGCATCGGGAAGGTGGTAGGTTGTAAGCTTATTGGCATGCTAAAAATTGAGGGAAGAGTATAACTCACTTATAAGTCATTTTTGACATCTTCATCTCCTTGCTACTTTTTAACCTTATCTCTTGTTAATATTTTTCTCTCACCTTTTTTCCTACTGGCCATTTGAGTTCTCATGAGATTTTTATGAACTGTCCAAAGACTCTTTGTTAAAAAATGATAGACATTTGATACTATTTGTGTTGGAATCACGGGTGTCCAGGAACCTAGAAGCCATGCTAGACTTGAAGTGCAAGTCATTCAAAATGAGAACACAAGTAAGCACAACCAGAACTAAATCTGGCTACAGCCATAAAAGACAATAAAAATATTTTATAAATATATTAGCAACAAAAGGAGGGCTAAGGAAAATGTCTCTTCTATATTGGATGTAGAGGGAACATAGTGAAAAAGGATGAGGAAAAGGCTGAGGTACTTACTGCCTTCTTTGCCTCAGTCTTCCATAATAAGACCAGCTGTTCCCCATGTACCAAGCCCCCTGAGCAAGAAGACATCTCAGGGACAGGATGCAGCATGAAGCCCCCATGCAGCCTCTTCTCCCAAGTAAGAAATGGTAGGACAGGAAGAAATGGCCTCAAGTTGCACCATGGGAGACTGGATACGATGAAAAACGTCTTCACTGAAAGGGTTGTCAAGCACTGCAACAGGCTGTGCAGGAAGTGGTGGAGATATTTAGAAGACATGTAGATGTAGTGCTCAGTGACATGGTTTAGTGGTGAGGTTGTCAGTGCTGAGTTAATGGTTGGACTCAATGTGATCTTAAAGGTCCTTTCCAACTTAAATGATTCTGATTCTGACAATTACTAAGCACTTTTATAAGCTTTTTAGAAATGGAACAGCACTGTTATGGTAATCTGCCATTTTGTGCACTATACCGGATACACCCCTACAAGCTAAATCACTTGTGATGGTTTTTTGTTTGTTTTGCCTAATTTAGGGTGCTTCCAGAGGTGCCAGTCCTGCCAAAGTATGGCATGTAACAGCATTCATGCATTTTGGCACAAACTTGGCTCTTGTTGACATTCTATGGTCATAAAATGCCTGCCAAAGTTTTACCATGTTAAAATGCAAAATAAATTGGAAGAAGCTGTTAAAACTCTGCATGAAACCTGAGAACATATTCCTAAAAATTAGAGGTGCTCTGCTACTGCCCTGATGGTCAGGGCTTCCTTACTACTTGGGCACAGGGCAATTCCCCGCCTCACCCCTGTGTTGCATCCAGTTGCATATTATGCAGTAAGCGTTTAATGAATTTCTGATATAATAAAAATAGGGGACTACTTGCCTGAGGACCTTGTTTTGTGATCTTCGAATGAAACTGTAAAGTTCAGGCACAGGACCTGAACTCCCTACTTACTCAGTTTTAATTTCAACTTCAGGCAGCCAATTGCAATTTTAAAGTATTAAACAGACACAAAGGCAAACTATGTACTGCTTTTGTCTGTCTGCTTTTTTAATGGCTGTGATTATTTTGAGCTTCTGCTGTAGATTTTTATGTAGAAGTAGAGTGGAACTTATTCTTTGCAGTTTTGTTACTTTCTTAATATTTTATTTTGTTGCTGTGAATTTATAAATCTCCTCCATTTCCAGACTCATGTCGTGGTGTCTCTGTTTATCAAAAGTATTATTGTTTTAAGTTGCTCAGAGAACCTTGAAACTTACGAGAACTGTGTTTACCTTTTTTGTTAAGGTACAGTCATCAGTAGCAGTGGGTACGCCTGACTACATCTCCCCTGAGATACTGCAAGCAATGGAAGATGGAATGGGAAAATATGGGCCTGAATGTGACTGGTGGTCACTGGGAGTCTGCATGTATGAAATGCTGTATGGTGAAACACCCTTTTATGCAGAGTCATTAGTGGAAACCTATGGGAAGATTATGAATCATGAAGTAAGAGCTATACGAAGTGTTTACGGAGAAACTTATCACTTAAAGATATTGAAGTGACAGTTCTTTGCTTTTTCATGTTCATTTTAGAGCCATCTCGTGTAGTTTTGTTGGTTCAGGTTTTAGGAACATTTGCTTCTCTGAGCTGCGGAAACTGAATCCTTTCTCAAACTGATTTTTTTTTTTTCTGTAAATGCTGATGTTCATGTCAAAAAAATTAAGCAGACATCACAAAATTAAACCCAGCTCTTGTTTTAGGCCCATTGAAAGTTTCCTCTGGACTGCAGTAGAAATGAAGTAATGCATTATTTACACAGCTGTGCACATGTTCTGTAGCACTGGTAACAGTACAAAAAATGGAACAGGCAAGTCAACCAGTGTATACATGAGCTGCATGAAGAAGATGAGGTTGGGGCAAGTTGCCCAGAGTGGAAGCTGTAGAAAAACATGAACTACATGAACATGAGGTCGGGGATTTATCCAGGGTCAAAGTCGTAGAGAAGTGTTGGAACTTTTGGGTGCATTTTGAATATTAATAAGTGTAAACCAGTGCATGATGCACTTTCAAGTGCTTTATTAGGAGGATGTGTTTGTATGCATAGTCATCCTAGGTACCCAGAAGCAGTTACACAGGGTATTGTTGCATTTTCTTCTCCCCAGGATGAGTGCAGTTTGCTGGTGTTCACAATGCTGTGCTCTCACAGTGAAGCAGCTATGAATAAGACATTAAATTTTTGCCAGAGTTGAAACCCTTGCTGTGATGAATATTAATCTCTCTCTTTTATTTCTTCAGTTAGCTAACTGGTTGCAAATGTAGCTATATATATGTTATGTATATACACACAGATATGTATTTACACACACCATACATATATATATATATATATACATGCTATTGTCCTTTACTGAAAAAAAAAACAAAACACAAAGCTAATCTTGACTATACGGTGGTAGTAGTGGTAAGCTAAAATACAGAAAAAGGCTTCCTGATTTTTATGTGGAATATTTTCAGATGTTAGTGGTAAGTACAGTTTCTAGATCTTCTGTTTGTTTATGGTAATAGTAGATGATACTTTGCAAAAAAAAAAAAAAAAGGTATTTAACCTATAAATTAAAAAAATACGTCTTTAAGTATAGCAGTGTTTTGTAAAGAATTGACTACCATCATGGATTTGTAAAAGTTTAAATCAATAAAATTTCAAGGAGTATGTCTTCAGGGGATCAGTGAGGGTCTGCCTTTACCGTATGATCTTTAATGTATTGTAGTGTGTCAAAATTCCTGTATGTCTTTAAAAAAAGGAGAGTTTGCTTTTTCCAGTAGAGTTACTGTAATTGCAGTTAGTTTCAAACAGATATGTATTAAGGAAATTGAGAAATGATTACTTGTCCTCAAAATCCATTTTAAGACAAAATTCTGTCACTGAATGTATTGCATTGTACCCTGCCACTGATTGCTGGAGCTAGAACAACGTCTGACTATTTGTTTTCAATGCTGTTGGTGTAATTTAGCACATTCCTTTTGAAACTACCATTGAAGGTTCTGGAATGTATTCCTTCTCTAAAAATGTTTCTGTTTTGTGGTTGTTTTTTTTCCAGGAACGATTTCAGTTTCCATCGCATGTTACAGATGTATCTGAAGAAGCAAAAGATCTAATTCAGCGACTTATCTGCAGTAGGGAGCGTCGACTGGGACAGAATGGAATAGAGGATTTTAAGTCTCATGCATTCTTTGAAGGACTTAATTGGGATAACATCAGAAACCTAGAAGCACCTTACATTCCAGATGTTAGCAGTCCTTCTGACACCTCAAACTTTGATGTAGATGATGATGTATTAAGAAATCCAGTGAGTCTTTCTCTTAAATATTACTGATGAGAATATGCAAACTATGGTCCTTTCCAGCCCAAACCATTCTATGATTCTAAATGGTAGCACTTGCCAAAATTGACTGCTGTTACATAGTCCAAGCTAAATATATTTAGGTGGGAAGAAGAAACAAACCCGTAGTTGTACTTTTAGTTTAAACCTTTCCAAGGAGCTAGTTTTTTGATTTATTAAAAAAAAAAAAAGGTAAAAAATCTGTCTTCAGAAATATGCATGTATTCTCCATGCAGCTTGCGATCACAGCTGTCCAGGTGAGAGAAAGCTCACATGGCTCCTTCTCCACTCCTTTAAGAACCAGGAGGTTGGTTTTCAGACTGGGTGCATAGGTGTTGCCCTCCTCCATTTCTGTTGAGAAGTAGTTTACAAATTCGAGTCAACAGGAGCAGAGGGCTTTGTGGCAATTTGTTTATCAGTTTGTATTCCAAGAAATGAAGATCTTTTGGCTTGTCTCTTGATTATGTGTCTAAAAGTAGCCAGCATACTAAAACTAATAGCATGCATATTGGTGCCAGATTTAATTAGGAACTTGAAATTTTGGCTTTTCTTTTACTGGTTGCATTGTACTTTGAACTGCTACCTTTTCAAGTACCTGTTCAAGAGGCTCCTAAATTCACATCATTGTATTAAGTGACCTAATCTGAAATAAAGTTTGGCTGGAGACAGTGGTAGTCTCTACAATGAAGAGTAGCTGCCAATTGTTATTTGGTATACACTAGGAAAAGTCTTTCTGTTGCCTGTCTCTCTTTAACTGTTGAATCTAACTCAAATGTCTTTAGCTCTAATTGATTCTCTTCTGAGTTTTCATACACGTTATTTTCATGCAGGAAGTGGTGCCACCAAGTTCTCATACAGGCTTTTCTGGATTGCATTTACCATTTGTTGGGTTTACATACACAACTGATAGGTAAGCAAGGGATTTATTGTTCATTAAACTTGTTTCCTGAATGCAGCTAGTGCCAGAAAATTCTCCTAAACGTAGAAAGGTTGATGTCCATAGGTATACCTGTGGATAAACTTTCATCTGTTCCTTTTTTTCCAAGTGTCTGAACGTATTTTAGTCATGCTTGCCAAGAATAGTTACTTTTGTATTTAATATTTTATCTATTTGAAATGAATGAAAGTTAAGGAACTAGATGTGTCACTTCAATTGGTGAATTCAATAAAAGTGACCAATTCATATGGTCACTTCAATAAACTTTATATTTCTTCACTGAGAAGCTGAAAGTAAGTCTTGTCAATGTTGCATGTGTGCCAGGAACAGTTTGTGATTAGCTCTGAAATCCTGCTGGTAGTCTAAGATAATGTAGATGGTTCTGAGCACAGAAAAAGTTGCTCATTTTTGATAACCTTTGGCATGGGAGAGTTAACGTTTTCAATAATTTAGGCAAAATTATGCCTTGTAAAGGGAACATACATCTGTGTCATTAAAGTCCTGGATGCAGGTATCTTAATTCTACAGCAGCATACACGGTAGCTAGGAAGTAACAACTTTACCTACTTTGGCAGTTGTCTCAACAGCAGTAATTACTGCACTAATTGTTCTTGTAAATTTAAGGTGGATATTTGTTGGAATCTCATCATGTCACTGCTATAGTCTGCCGTGGGTATTTATTAAAATGTTCTAATTTATGTACTTGCTTTCAGTTCTTTATCTGATAGAGGCACTTTAAAGAGTGCAATGCAGCCTGACACTGTAACCAAAGATATGGATGTCCAGCGTGACTTAAAGAGCACTTCACAAATAGAAGGCTATGAAAAGAAAATACGGAAATTAGAGCAAGAAAAGCAGGATTTGAACAGAAAACTGCAAGGTTGGTGGTTTCTATCTGTTAGTATTCTTAATTCTGCTTGTTAGGAGGAATGGGAATGTATTTTATTGAAAGCCTTGTCCTTCTTTTTCTGTTTTTAAGAATCTACACAGACAGTGCAGAACCTCCAAGGTCCAGTGTGTGTCACAGTAAATACAAGCCGTGATAAGGAGATTAAAAAATTAAATGAAGAAATTGAACGGTTGAAAAACAAATTAACAGGTAAGCCTCTGGCAAAGTAATTATGGTAATGCAATTTATTTTGCTATTCCTAGTAACATTTTGCACTGGTTTTCTGCAATAAGTAGAACTAATGTTCTTGAGGTGCTAAAAAGCAAAGGGATTTTTACAGTCTCGTTCAATACTAAGAGGCATTTCAGTTTTTCCATATGAGCACTTTTTTTTCCAGTTGCTTGACCTGATAGCATTGTACTATCATGGAGAGTCTAGATTATGATGAATTGTGTGGATGGGTTCAGTTAAATATTTTCTGTGATCCTTGTTTCCCTAAAAATCTCAGGAGATCCTGTTCTCCTTACTTCTCCTTTTTCTGGGGGAGTATTGTTTCAGAGGGATTTTACCTGGAGACAGGTGTAAGAGACAGTGGGGAGAAAAGACTAGTTGCTCTTTAGTAACATAAGAGGATAGGTGTGGAGATGTATAATAATAGTTCACATTTAAATATTTCTGAGCTTCCCTTCACTTTGTGTTTGTCTGGTTATGCATTAATTAGGAAGCATTGAGCATTTCAGAAAAACAAATACTGGCATCTGTCCTGAGAGAAGGCTGACTCATCCATATCACTGAAAATCTGTTGTTTGACAATGCTGTTAGTTTATCCATGCAAACCTCCTGTTAGCATCTAATTGTTAATTGGAAATTGGTGATAAACAAAATGGTAGTTTTGAATCCTAATAGCTTGGCTGAGAGGTTTATAGGGGCCTGTAGGATAGCATGAGTTCAGATGCTGAGTTTGTTACGCTGGGTTGTTTTTTTCCTCCCCCCAGTTTGGCAATACGCCCACTTTGTTAGGTACATGCATTATAAAAGTCAGCTCTCTTACACAGGTTATCCTTCCAAAAAGGCTATTCTAGTATATGCTGGAATTAGTTTTGAGTCAAAATAGGTTAAGGGGCTACTTCTGCAAATGGTTCAAGTTTATCTAGCTTTTCATTCATTGTGTCCTTTTAAATATAGAAAGTAGAAGTAAGGTCTGTTTTAAAAAGTGGTATTGGTTCATGTAGGGTGGAAGGAGGTTTGTGCTGAAGTGAGAAAAGGAATAATACTTTAATCGTTACAGCAGTGCTTGGGATCCCTGAATTGGGATTCAGGTACAATTTCCTGTTCTGCCACAGACATCAGTGGAACTTGAGAGAGACGGTTATTCCCTATGCAATTTCTTATTTACTTGTTTTAAAAGAGAGTAATTAAAACCAGATGGAGACAGAGATTGGCAGTTTTTCTTGCCAACTTTAAGACTGAGCAGAAATAATAAATATGGTTCATTTGTTGCACTGAATGGTGATAATTTCAAATCAAATTTGTTACGTTGTCTTTGAGAGTGAATTCTGAGGGATATGGTCAGTTGGGTCTCCAGCCTTGCTCATGCAGGATGGTATTTCCTTCCCAGACTGTTAATTCTTATTTACTCTATGAAACAGTCTTTTCCTGCCTTGTTGGATGCACTAATGACTGACTGCATCCTTGCTTGTTATATAATGAGAACTATTTACGAGACAAATTACTAGAACTGGTATTAGAGCAAATTAGTTTTATTTCAGTGTTTTCAAGGGCTAGAAGGTGCATTCCTCAAAACCAAAATAAAGCCCTGTGCTAAGGCTTTTTCACTTAGAGATCACAGCCTTTAGGAAGATTTCTTTAATAGGCTGAGAATATTAAAATTATTTGGAGGTGTCAATGCCCCAGGATTACCTTAAATACTCTAGAATGGTGGAGAAAGGAAACAAGTTGATTTTCCAAGCAAAGTGATGCAAGTGTGCTTGAGTAATGTTGCTTCCTTCATTGGTATAAATCTGGGACTAGTTACCTTTAATATGCACTAATCTACAGATATAAGTAAACTGGAAGGACAGCTTGCAGATGCAATGGCTTTTCGACAAGAACATGAAGACTCAATGCACAGGTTGAAAGGACTAGAAAAGCAGTGCAGAGTGTTGCGGCAAGAAAAGGAGGAGCTTCATAAGGTATTGATCCAAAGATAGATACATTTAAAAATAGTCTTGCAAACTATGTATAGAGCCAGTTCTGTTGTGATTGCAATTTTAGTGTTTGAAATACTGCTTTTTAAAGCTATACAGAGAATTCGATGAACCTGTTAATTTCATTAGCAGTGCAGTAGTTTTCCAAAGTAGCACACTTTCATTTTTGGAAGTTGATAGGCATCTTGCTTATCTCAACAATGTTCTGCTAGATAGAACAAGCACCTAAAGAATGGGTTTAGTTTAAATGTAAATTATTCTTAACTGTTCCAGTAGAAGTCTGAGGGCAATCAAGAGAGACTTCAGGAATTTGGGACAAGTTCTAGCCTGGTGTCGCTGGCAGAATTGTTTTGTTTTGGGTTGGTTTACATGACACCGGTCCTGCTGGTGACAGATGGGGTACACTTGTCTCAAAGTGGGGAAAGGATCTTTACACAGGAGTTAGAAGGGCTCAGTGAAAGAGCTTTAAACTAGATTTGAAGGGGGAATGGGGAAGCAGATTTTAAACTTTTAAGTATTGGAACTTCATGGTTTGTTTGTACTAAGGAACCTTTCTCAGTTTTCTGAAGAATTTCACAAGATTTGCAGCAGCATCTCAGTGCTGGTACAGTGTATTTGATGGGTGCATTCCATGTGCTGTCTGCAAAAACATTCCTTTAAAAATGGTTGCTGTTGTACAGGTACATTATTTAGAAGTGAGGTGGTATTCTTGAAGCTGCCACACTAGATGCAGAGTAACTGCTGTCTTGGGATGTCAGTGCAGCTACTTAGCCAAAAAACAAACAAAAGTGTAAATTAAGAATTAGATATAATATTTAGAATTGATGTGAGGTGGTTGAGCTTCCAAGTGATGCTTATGTATGTCCAGTTCCTTTTTCCTTGGAAAGAATATATGGGATTCAAATCACAAAAGATCTCAAGCGGAGACCCATAAGCGTCATTGAGTCCAACTCCCTGCTCCTCACAGGTTTGACTAACACTGCATCAAACACCAGCACACTTCCTGCCATCCTCAGGGGCTTTGGGCTGCAGCTGCCATTTTGTACTGGGTCAGGCCAAAGGGATCCCGTTTGTACTGGGATGGGGCTGAGTCTGTACTAGGAAGAGGCAAGGGGATCTGGTTTGTGACCCTATATTATATTTTTTTTATTTAAACCAGCAACTTGTAGAAGCCTCAGAGAGATTAAAGACACAATCCAAAGAACTGAGAGATGCCCACCAGCAAAGAAAGCTAGCTGTGCAGGAGTTCTCTGAGCTCAGCGAGAGGATGGGAGACCTGCGGTCTCAAAAGCAGAAGCTGTCCCGGCAACTTCGCGACAAAGAAGAAGAGGTGGAAATGAGCATGCAGAAAATTGATGCTATGAGACAGGACATCCGTAAATCAGAGAAGATCAGAAAAGAGGTAGCTTAATAAAACGGCTAACAATAACATGTTTCAGCTGCTGCTTATCCAGTATCTCTTATGTAATTGTACTGAAAAATTTGGACTGTTAACAATAATTTACTTTGTCCATCTGTAAGAAATTGCCCCAATTGCTCTTCCATTTAACTTCACTACATTTCACAAAGGAGATCTTGACTTTTTTTATAAATGTTTTACTGATGTATTGGGAAATGAACCAAGGCTGATTTTTATTTTGGAGGAAACCATTCTTGCTATATGCCCAGCTTCTTAGTTCCTTGTGTTTTGATTCCTGAAGACTCATAGTCAGCTTGTAATTGTCTTCATGTGCTATAACATTGGAGTATTTTAACTTTTTTTCTAACTGAATTTTTCTGTTCAGCTGGAGGGAGGAGTGTTGATACAGACTAAATATGTGGTTTTCCTTCCTCTGTAATTAGTCATTGTAGAGAAAGTCTGTAGTATCTTTAAGCAAGTTAATTTCCAATTAATATTAGAGCAATTTATAGTTTTACATAAGATGAAGTGAATAACCAGAAGAGGGCAGAAAAAACAGCTGTTGTGATTAACCTGGAGTATTTTAATCCCTGAAAAATCATGAAATTTTATGTATTTTTTGAGTGAAGTGTAGAAGAGAAATTTGTTGCTTTATAAGCATTGCTTGACAATGTCTGGCAAATTGAAGGGCAGTGCATGAAAATGTAGTTAAGATACGAAGTTTTCTCAGACTTATTTTTGAATAAGAAGTGGTAGTTAAGTGGGAAGGTTGAAGGGCTATGGCATCGTGTTTGATTCGTAGGGCTGTGGAGCCTTGTCTCTACAGCAGAGTGCAGCGGGGGCATTCAAATGTTGCTACTTATTCAGTTAAATATTTGCATGCAGGGCTTTATATTCTCTTTGTCATTATAAATTCCTCTGTTCTCCCTTTCCTAATGACTGCATCAATCTTCTATTCAGAACATAGCCTGTAAGTTCATTATTTTGGCCCACAATTCTAAATACAAACCTTTTGAAAACAACTTTGCTAGTTTATTTTGAATGCAGAAAAACAAATCTTACTCTTCCTGTCAAGTTTTAAAACTGTGCCACTATTACTTGAATTGCAGCAGTTGCCTTATTTGCCACTAAATCTAAATTGTCTTTCTGATAAGCTTCCTGAAGTTGATAAATGGATGACCAAGTTTATTTTGTTCCTTAATTGCAAGGTAAAAGTGTTTAGTGTTCATGTTTGAAGTATTTTGCAATCATTTGGGTCAAAGGTTGACTTAGTAGGTAGTGAGGCAGGGAGCTGACCTGTAAATGTGGGAGACTTACTTCTTTCACAACTGCAATGACTTCCTGGTGCCATTTCCTTCTTTTAGCATTAATAGAAGCCGTGCAGTTATCCCTGCACATATTGTAGCTTGTATCAGTACAAATAGTCATATAGTAATAGCTCTACTGCATAAGACAGATGCCTGGATAACTGAAGGGAAAACAATTATGACATTCTGAGATTATTGTTATAGTGGTGTAACATAATATAGAAATAAGGAAAACTTGCTGCTCTTCCATATGGAGGAAAGGAAATGAGTGATACAGATACCACTATCTTGTACTGAAATGACTTAAAATTACTCATTACAGCTGGAAGCCCAACTTGAAGAAGTTGTAGCAGAAGCATCAAAAGAACGCAAGCTTCGTGAGCACAGTGAGGTCTTCTCCAAACAATTGGAAAATGAACTGGAAGCACTAAAGGTTCGTGTTTTTTGACAAATGTTTGCTCATGGCATAAAGAGCTGCAATAGCTTTGCTTACTCAACTGTTGATATCTGTGGGAGCATTAAAACTACAGCATTACTAGAAACCTGACCTAATAAATCCTGTTAGGATTTCTTTTCTTTTCTTGCTTGAAAGACTCAATTATCTCATTGTACATTAACGGCTTGAAAATGTCCAGTGTATTTAGACTCTGAAAAGATATTAAACCAGTGTAGTCCAAATCTGTTATCTCTGCGACCCTTTTGAATCCCTTATTAGGGTCATGGAAGCACACCAGTCACTTAGGTGGCTTAATGCTTGGATACAGCCACTTTTTAAATTAATCAGTGCCAAATAAAAATATTCCCAAGTGCCACCAATTGGGCAGTTCTAATTTTAAATAATATTCCCAAAATATAGAGCTTATAATCTCTTCCTGATGATTTATCATCCTCTGCAGCTGAAGCAGGGAGGTCGGGCAGCAGGTGCCACACTAGAGCATCAGCAGGAGCTTTCCAAAATTAAGTCTGAGCTGGAAAAGAAAATCCTATTTTATGAAGAGGAGTTGGTCCGACGAGAAGCATCACATGTCTTGGAAGTCAAAAATGTGAAAAAGGAAGTACATGATTCAGAGAGTCATCAGCTTGCACTGCAGAAAGAGATCATGATACTAAAGGATAAATTAGAGAAAACAAAGCGAGAGAGGTAAGCTTTTGAGCATGTTTCATTCATTATGGATTTCATTTTTTGTGTATTGCATTGCATAGATATCTGTGTGGGCTGGTATTTCACCTTAACTCTGTTTATTCATGTTTGAAAATCCCAGTATACAGGGTCAGCAGTGTTACAGTATAAGTGTTTCTATTTCTTGTTCTTAGGCACAGTGAAATGGAGGAAGCAGTAGGAACAATGAAAGACAAGTATGAGCGTGAAAGATCTATGCTCTTGGAAGATAACAAAAAGCTAACAACAGAAAATGAGAGGGTAATTATTTTAAGGAATATTTTTAAGCAAAATATAATTCTTAACTTTCTTACTTTCTGATGTTGAAGTAATCTTCTCATTGATCAGAACGTGATCTGTGAGTGTTCAGGCAGTATCTGGATAAAACAAGTTGTTTTTTGCCATATAAACGTCAGAGATACAGCTAAATAGTAACTTTAGCATCTCAGTTGTGAGATTGATTTCCGCAGCTCGGGGAGCATCACCTTCTGCTTTCTTCATGAAGGCAGCACGAAGAGGAAAGCATTTATGAAAGACTGCCTGCCTTCCTGATGGCTTACAGTTAAACCTCATTCTTCTCAATGACCGCTACACTTGCTTTCTCTTTTCCTCTTTTTTGTGTTAACTGGCAATATTTTCTTCTGTGCTAAGGAGCTAGACTCCAGTTCCACAAAAAAAGAGCCCCTTCTAGCTCTTTGGTCTGTGTGCTCTGTGTTAGAAGTTCCAGATAGCCCAGGATGGTCTCGTTTGGTCAGATTGTATAGGTGTGTAGACATATGCATGTGTAAAAAGTCTGAAACTGATATAAGTCACAAAGTAAATTTTTTTTTTTATTTCAGCTCTGCTCCTTTGTGGACAAATTAACAGCACAGAACAGGCAGCTGGAAGATGAGCTCCAAGACCTAGCAGCAAAGAAGGAGTCTGTTGCTCACTGGGAAGCTCAGATTGCAGAGATTATTCAATGGTATGTGCTGTTCAGAGATCAGATGCCCTTTTTCAACCTCTGAAATATTGATTGGCTTTCTTTATTTTTTTCAAATATATAGGTAGGCCCTTTCTCTGTGTCTGGGACCAACAAAAGCATGGTACTTTTGAGTGTTGATTAACCATCTCTCTTCTGCTTTCTGTCTAGTATTGCTGAGTAGTAATGCATATGAAATTGTCAGATGCTACTAAGAACATAGGAAGGGGTTTCGGAATCAACTTGCTTTGTCTCTGTGTTCATTAAATCACCCACACTGGAATATTTTGATAAACTCAGGAAGATGATTATGATTTAAAAGGTCCATATTAACATATAGGCCATCACTAGCTGCACTAGGCAAGCACCTCCACTTCATTTACAGGTCAGTTCTTCCCTCCGTTATTTGCTGTTTTAGCAAGCTGTATGCAAATATTTTCAGCATGTAAAACAAGAAGGACTTGAAAGTAGCCCTTATAAAAATTGAACAAGCAATATGCAGATCATATTCTAAACAATAACAGTGAATCCACAGAACTCTTGCTGATGGTGGAAGGCAAACTTCAGTTTCCCTAGCAACTGCCACAATCAAGAAAATCAGATAAAAGAAAAATCTGAAACAGACCATTTAAGATATATTCAGCTTCTTGTTGCTGGGAGAGTTTTGTCTGCTCAGTCCATTTCTGTTAATGTCCCTAAATCCAGTGCAGACACTGATTATTTCATGTTGCAATATTTGGTGCTATGAGCCATGAAACTTTTAAGTAACAGTTGTTTGCAATTGTACAACAGGGTAAGTGATGAGAAGGATGCTCGTGGCTATCTCCAAGCATTGGCTTCCAAGATGACAGAAGAATTAGAATCATTGAGAAGTTCCAGTCTGGGGTCACGAACACTGGTAAGAAACCAGCAAGCATTCAGGCTATCCTGGGGACATCTAAGAAGCTGTATTTTTACCTTCAGCTATCTGTTCATAATCAGAATTATTTTATAATAAATCCTCTGCTCTGCTTTCTAGTTTTTGCCTATTGCTTGTGAAATCCAACTAGGTAATATGATCAGAATTTGATAATTAGAAGTTGAGGGAATCCCATCCCTGGCAGTGTTCAAGGCCAGGTTGGACAGGGCTTTGAGCAGCCTGGTCTAGTTGGAAGGTGACCCTGCCTGTGACGGTGGTTTTGGAACTAGGTTATCTTTAAGGTCTATTCCAACCCTAACCATTCTGTGAATTACAGGGTGAGATGTTTCATACTAATATCTGCCATCGCAAACTGTGTTAAACAGTACAGACGTGAGAAGAAGCAATAATTTAAATCATTAAAGAGGAATACAGGAATGTATGAAGATGCAAGGGAATGATGTTAATTGCGCTGTGAGATAACAAAGTTTTTCTTTTGTGAGCATGTATTAGCTGGCAGATATCGTTACAAACCTGTGACACACTGAGGACATGTAGCTTTATTTACATGCAGAACAATGAGACCTTGCGCCATAACTTTCTCACACAGTAGTAACATGAATTCCCAACAAAATCTGCAAAATAGAAGGGCTCTCACAAAAGAGTATGGTTTCAAAGACAAAACCGCTGTTTTGCCTTAGTAGGTACAAAATGTCCTGCATAAGGAAGGCAGAGCCATTTGCAGCTAGGCATGGAAGTTCATGTCCCTAGCAATGCCAGTCAGCGCAGTCTGCTGTGCAAAAAGCCCATTTGTTGCTGGTTTGTAGAAATAAAAAATTACTCACCCCTTCCAAACCTATAAATAGGAGAGAATAAGAAAAAGTTATGACTTCCTATGAGCTAACATTTGCCTACATCATCAAGAGACTATTATAATATTGAGAAATTTAATAGGAAAAAAGATCGGATCAAATGCAGTTGGCATTTTCTTCTTAGCTACAGCCAGAAAAGAACAATATAAAACAATATGCACTGATTAATAACACTTTCTGTTCTTTATATTACAACTGGTTTTGTAACTTCAGCAGAACCTGATCTAAGACAATTATCTCTCAACATAAAAAATGCCTCTCATTTTCATGACTGTTGTCTGCAAGTTCATGTGTGACTAGAGAGGCAATATAAGAAAGGTAGTCCATACTGCAAAAATGCCTGGTAAAGCTCAGAACATTAGCTTTTGGGGTAGGAAGGCAGAATTGTGTGTTGTATGCAAAAGTATAGCATACGCTACTTAGCAAGCCTAGGAATTGTTTAGGTGAGTGTTCTGTGTGTCTTGGGTATCTCAAGACCTGGATCGTTTAATATTTTTCATGGTTTTGCCATTTCTAGTACGTTTTAGATTGATGTGTTTTACATTAAATATTGACATTGATCTCCTGTTTGGAAGCCTGGTATGTCACTGCAAGTTTTATACTCTTTTCAAGATTGGACAATGAAAACTAAGTATTTTCAATGGGTTCTTTCAGTTTGACTTCCATGCTTGGTCATCCAGCATTCTGGTTTCAAGCATATTGTGTTAGTGGTTTAACCAATACAAAAATTGCTCATTACTTCATTTTTGTGTAACAAAGTCTGTGTGTTGACCAGTTTCCATGCAGCAGGTATACTGTCCATAACTAACTTAAAGGGCATTATTTGAAGCAGTGTAAAAACTAATTTATGTCTTAGAATAAGAACAGAAATATCTTTAGACAGTTGACATTAATGTTCAGTAACTTACTGCAACAGGATCCACTTTGGAAAGTGCGACGCAGTCAGAAGTTGGATATGTCAGCCAGGCTGGAATTACAGTCAGCCCTTGATGCAGAAATTCGTGCCAAACAACTAGTTCAGGAAGAGCTACGAAAAGTTAAAGATGCAAATATGTCTTTTGAAAGGTAATAAGGTTTTTGATTCTCTTTGGGCTTGAAAAACAGTTCCGTTTTTCTGTTTGATTTAGAACTGTTTTTTTCAACCAGTTCTAAACTACTGATTAGGACAGTAACAGCTTTCTTAGAATGGCCCATTGTTCTTGGGATATTGGACTTTGCCAAAAAGATCCAATCCTACAGACATGTTTCTTACATAATCAAATGAGAATTCTCAAGATTTCTTCAAGTAAACGTTTCACTGCTGTGAATAGCTTGGTAATGAGATACAGATCTCATTCTCCCTCTGGCACCTGAGGGGAAAAAGCGTAAAAGCAAACTCAATACCTTTTCTTAGACTAAGCTGAGAATAGGCATATTCTTGGGAATTAAAAGCCAAACTACTCTTGGAATAATTTTGTTTGGCAGGTATCTGCAATGATAGCAAGAGTCTAAAGTACAGTTTTCACTCTCTAGTGGAGTAGTGAGGTGCCTGTTCAGGGGGGGAATAAAATTTATCAGCCTTAAAAATGGGAATATTAAAAAAAAAAAAAATCACCTCTCCTCGTTTCCAAAATGGGATGTAGGACCAGGAATTAAATGAAACCTCTGAGATGTAGGGCCAGAAATTATCAACTCTGTGCACTGCTATTTCTGCCTTTGAGATATTTCACATTGAGTTTTGATCGTATTGTGTTGCTTTAGTAAATTAAAGGAATCAGAAGCAAAAAATAGGGAACTGTTGGAAGAGATGGAAGGTTTGAAGAAAAAAATGGAAGAAAAATACAGAACAGATTCAGGTAATTAAAGCTAATGTTATTTAACAGAGTTCCACCACCACCTGTGATTTTGCCTTTTAGCTAAGCCTGTTCTGCTTTGGGTTTCAGGTCTCAAACTTCCAGACTTTCAAGATTCCATTTTTGAATATTTCAACACTTCTCCTCTTGCACGTGATCTGACATTCAGAGTGAGTTATTACATTAAATATCTATAAAAATATGATACCTGAATTATTTTTGTTATGTAAAATAACACTTGGGCACTATATGGCACGTTTGGATCTGGCATATCAGCCAAATTAATGTCATGCAGAATTGAATGCTCAGCAGATGTCGGATAGCTTGGCATTTTGTAGAGAATCTGGTTTCTTTGGGAAATATTCCCAGAAGTTCATATTCATTATTTCTCATTCTAGCTTTTTTGTTTAGGTTAATCTCAAATGTTTGGCTAAATAATTTATATTCAGGTATTTTGGAAAGGCCTCACACCCTGTTACAAGTAAGGGATTAAACACTTTGCAGTTGGAAGATGCCGGTTAATACAAAGAAAAGTATTCATACCTTTCAAAGAGTGTTTAAACAGATATGTAAAATTCTTGGCTCCAGATCTTAATGCAGTGGTTAGAGTAGAAGGAACAGGGAAGAGAATCAGAGCACCCAGAGATGTTGGTGTAAGTTTATCATGACACACCCTCTGATCCTAAGAAAACTAATAATACAAATCACAGGTCCAAATGGGCGTTTCACTTTAAAGGATTTGTGCATTGCCTGAGGAAGCAGCTGTTAAATGCAACATTGAAGTCACATTTCCTTGCTTCGTGAGCTCTTGATCCCTGAAGATTTTCCAGGAGGTTTTTTTTTCTTTAATTTTTTTTTTCACCTTCCCAAAATGTATAGACAGCTTAGGATAAAACCAAGAGCTTTTATGTTTATGGATCTGAGTTAAACGGAGTCAGGTTAAAACCTCATTGGTCTGGTTAGATTTTATATCTGAAATGTGTACTTTTTTCATATTGTCACTGTTGCTGAAAAGAAAACTATGTCCATACTGTGGTATTTGCATACACTTCATGTATGTGCTTTTTCTCAGTCACAAAATGTCCACGCTGGCTTCATTGCTTAAGCAGCGAGGTGTACTGTATGGATGAGATGGAGAGAAGAGAGAGAAACATGATACATGCTGCTATCCGAATAATAATTATTACTGTCCTTGTTACTTTAAAACATTACTTTAAAAAGTGACAGTTATACTTAAAACTGTGACATGTTGAATATCAAGCCCATAACTAATCAACAGTCCATTCTACAGATCCTGAAATAAATTACAGTTGCCATGGAAATGTAGGTGACATTTTCTGACAAATTACATTGAAATTGCTGATACTATACTTGATGACTTCTGTTAACAATATTTTTTCATGTGTACTTGTAGTCAGTGTCATCTCCTCTGGGTTAATTTAGTTTGGATAAATATCATTTGGCCATACAAAACATTTTGTTTAGCTAGCCTACTAATATCCTGTCTGAAGTTTTATTGTGGGTGATAAGTGATCATTTTTATCCCTCATACCCGTTACAACAAAGGATTCTGTTTCTTCTTCGTCTACATCTTCTCTGCTAGCCTTTTGGGAAGAAGTAAGTTTTTGCTAGTAGTTTTGTCTCCTTATTTTGTTGTGACCTGTCGTAGTAAAAACGGCCTTCTAAAACTAGATATTTTGCTTCCTTGACTTCTCTATAAGTTAATCCACTAAACCTCTTACTTTTTTATGTTTTTACTATCTATGTGGCTAAAGCTGAATCACACTTAGTGTTTTCAAATAGTTCATATTACATAATGGTAGAATTTGATCTTAATTGGCCTAGCTCTACCAGTCAATTCGTAACTCAAAAAATAACAAATATCTGAACATATTTAGTGAGCTAGCTGAAGTTGAGCTGTCTTCTTGTCTAAACTGGCTGGGAAACGAGTGATTCATTAGTTGTTGCCTTTAGTGCTAATTACATCATTGATGTGATGTCTAATCAGATGTTTGTTAATCATGATTTTCATGATGTCCTTAGAGTACAGTGATACAGTGTCCTACTTCCACACCCAGCTGCTTTAGCTCTGGAATTGTAGCATACTTCCCCCTTGTGCTGGCAAATAGTAGTTGCTAATTTAAGTGTGAAATTAATAAAAGGCTTGTAATGGATGCTATTCATCAATTTTAGTGAAATATAAGTCAATGTGATTAAGAAGATGTGATTCTTCTTAATAACAGAGGCCAACCTTTTTTAAACAATTATTTAAAGATGGTGTAGCACTACTTTAAGAATTTTTCTTGTGGCAGAATTACTGGCTGCTGTGTGCTATAAAAATCCTATTGTAGTAAGCTACCGTGAGAAATAAGCTATTCCATGGCTGATTGCCAAGCTTCTCAGACATCATTCCATACCTGCATGTAAGAGATTAGACACAGCCTTGCTGGGAGAAAGTGGCTGTTGCAGCGTTTATGCTGCCTACTATGAGGTTTTGCATTTCAGTACTTCCAGTTTTACAGCTTTTCCATCGGGTGGCAGGGTTCATTTTGAGGGAAGATTTTATTTGCTTTTTTTCCAGAGTGGAAAGTTGTTAGAGGTATGTGTACTGCACATAGAAATCCGCGTTGGTTTTTGTTTCCATCTTGTTGATGTGAGAACACTTCATCAGATCTGTGGTATCTAATCTAACATGCTTACTGTCACTTTTGCAGACCAGTTCTATTAGTGAGCAGGAAACCCAGGGTCCCAAGTCAGAAGTTTCACCGTCTACTTCGGTTGTAACTGCAGAGCAACAGCAAGAAGTAAGAGCGTTTTTTTTACTCTGAAGAGTAATTCACTAGGAAGGCTCTGTCTTGTTCATGATAAGTACATGCTGCAGCATTCATTATGAAGAAGAAGGATTGAATGTTGCTTATTTACAATGTGTCAGTGTTAATTGCAACTGCTTTGAGGACGTCTGCAAATGAAACCTTTTTGCTGGCTCTGTGTATGTTGGTGTAACTCATTTACGTATGTTTTCTGTATTGCTGCTTGTGTTTTTGTGTGCAGGCTTTCCTGTGAGTGCTTTAAAACACAATCTGTTTCTCTTAAATCAGAATGGCAATGCTAATGATGATTAAATTGTTAATAATTTGAAGGAAAAAAAAACGGAAAAAATCAGAACACAATAAGCTTTGCCACCCCAATCTTGAAACAAATTCTTGAAGCCTCATTTTGCTCAATTACAGTTTTTTGTGATTCAGGAACCAATTCGGCTTCAGAGGATGCCTGCTGCTCCTTCCCCCACCATTCAATCCATTTCTCTAGCTGTACCAAAGGTAGGGGGACTGTGCTAACCTTATTATAAAGAACAAAGGAAAAAATGCCATTTATAAATTAGCCCTCTGTGTTTGTTCTTGTCCTGTTTGGGTTTGTCATGTGTTTGTTTGTTAGGTCTGTGTTTTTAATCAAACATTTCCACATGCAGGTTGGTGGGTTTTAATTTGTCAGAAGAGATGATAAGAAATGGTTGTAGGTTGGGTTTTAAGTGTCTTACGCAGTTGGAAAAAAATTTGTCTTGCAGCATCTTTTACAAGCTGCACTTACTTGAAAGAAGGCAGGGTTTCATAATGTACACTCTGATACACTGGAGGGTGGTGAAGGGAGTTGCTTCTATTACATAAGTACAGAAAGTGAAAATTTTATTGTTTTTTTTATCCTGAATGTATCTTTCAGCCTAAAGCTCACCAGCTCAATATCAAGTCATTCACAAGCCCCACTCAGTGTAGTCACTGCACTTCTCTTATGGTGGGATTAGTTCGACAAGGTTATGCCTGTGACGGTGAGTCAGTTAAAGTTTTTGTTTTCAGCAAGTCCCTGAAAAATTGTCCCAAAAGTCCGAAGTATTTTAACACAACCATTTCCATGGAGTGGGAATGAGAGGGGTAGCTGCCACTGAATGGTTCTCCTTTCTCCTATATCATCATCAGATTTCTAAAATCAAAGAATTTTTATAAGCCCTCATGGTTCCCTTTCATATTGCTAATTAATTCTGCTACCATTAGTGTTGTTACATTGTGAATTGGGGGTAGGAAGTGGGGAAGCAGAACTGCTTTATTCTTCCATAGTGGATAAGACTACAGCGATGCTCTGGTAGCAGAAATCTGAGTCTGTCTGGTTTGTGCTATCCTGATTCTAAACCCTGTATGTTGGGAGGACCATTTCCTGGGGCTTTTGACCTGTAGCCTGTCTCACTGTCCATTGGTTTTATTTACAATGCTTTCTGTGATGCATGTGTCACTATTGAATTCCACGTTTGAGTATATGGAGGAATTTTAATTGAAAATACTTATCTATATCTTGATTAGACACATGAACACACAAATCTATTGAAGGCAGTACAGTATAAATAACCTTATGTATGTCTGTGCCCAGCTTAGTTCTTGCTAGTGAAACCCTCTCCGATGACACCTTCAGTATCGTGTTCAGATTGTTTCATCTGCCCTTCAGGGTTTTTTTTTTTTTTCCTGGAAGATCTTCTGGTGTCAGCTCTTCCCCAGGAGCACCTATGCTCTGCCAGCACTTGCCCTGGGGCTTCCTTTTGTCTCCCGTTGATGACAGTTCTAAACTCTTGTTTTGCATCTCTTCCTGCAAGTATGAAATGGCATTTTTCCCTTAGTGTAGCTGTCAGCTTTGGGTTTGGGTCTTCTCATATTTTGATGAAACTCTGCATGGTAAGTTTTCCAGTTTGCCTCTTCTGCTCCATGTAGTGATAGCTACAGGAAAAAAAAAAACAAACCAACACAATCATTTTGACCTAAGAATATAGATTACTCCAGTAGAACAAAATTTTGCAATGTTCCACTCCCAAACACTCGCTTTTCCCAATTCCTTCTCTTTTTAATGCTGGAGACTATAGTAAAATACAGCTGCTCTTCTAGAGGCCTGTGAAGCTGGCTGTATCCTGTGGATTTTCCCTATTAGGTAACCTGTGTGCTTTGATATTCACAGTCACAAATAATTATGATGCTTCCTGAAAGAGCTGAATTTATTATCTGGTCTTGGAGAGCACATACAGCACTTTTCCATGCATGACTTTTTGGTAGCCCCTGTCCTTCTGGGAGCAGACTGCAGCTCAAAGAACAAGCTGGGCAGGCTGCTCTGGACTGCCCTCTCCTGACTGTTCCCTCAGACATCATGAGGAGGGGGTTTGTAGGCCAGTCTGTGGCTCTATTAGAAATACAGGCTGTTCCCAGGTTTACTGGAATCCTTTGACCCTTTGTAACTATGGGACTGCATGTGGATAGAGTATCTGCCAAATGCCCAATTCTGAGAATACGGCTAGAAGAATGCAGACAATAGAGCACAGTGCTGTGCCACTCGCACTGCCTTCCCAAGCCTACTGGTAGAAACAGGATAGCTGGGACAAACCAGCAAAGTCTCTGTGGAAAGATCTGGCCCATAAACTGTGGGTCGAATGCCCTGATCTCATGTGTTAATTCATTCTGGAGTTCTTGTAGTCTGTCTCGTGTGAAGTGGTGCATATGCTGAGTTTTTGCTGTGTAGTGCTTCTGTGTGAAGCGCCTTATAGACAGGAGACTTAGAAACCCCTGTCTCTTGCTGACAAAGTACAGTGTGGTGTAAATGGTAAGAAAGGATGCAACAATTAGTATAGTTAAACTCTATGTCCCTTTCACCACACAGCATTTCAGTCTTTGTCGCCCGGTTTTTACTTTATTACACTTTCAAGTCTGTTGCCTGTGTTTAATAGTTTAACCCTTTTATTTTTATTTTTTTTTGTCAGTTTGGGTTTACTTCTTCTTTGCATTATTCTTGCATACTTGGATCAAATTAAACAGCTACTGTATTTATTACCTATCACTGCCCTGTCATTTTTATTCCTCCTTTAATACTTTTTCAATTCAGTGACTGGGTTAGTTGCTGCTTAACACCAGTGAGGCTGACCAACTCCTTTTCCTTCTGGAAAATGCTTTCGTAAGTTGCCTTGAAATCTGGATTCAGTTCCTGCCCTTCGTAGAAGTAATAGGCTTAAAAGAGACAATAAAAGCACTTTGGAGAGTCTCAGCCTCGGTGTGTTCAGTTGTTTAGCATAGTGGGCTATTGCGATACTTGACTGCCAGTTTCAGTGTGATTAATTGATTTGCTGAGCATAAGGTTAACCTATGTTAATCTTCTGTTATGACTCATACACGAGTTTCACTGTGCATTTTCTCTTTTGTACTTAGTGTGTTCATTTGCATGCCATGTTTCCTGCAAGGATAGTGCACCTCAGGTCTGCCCCATACCCCTTGAGCAAGCCAAAAGGCCTCTTGGAGTAGATGTGCAAAGAGGAATAGGAACCGCCTATAAAGGTTATGTAAAGGTAACAGTCTTTTGTTCTTGGACAAGAGAAGAATACTAAACTCCACTTAGAGCTATGCAGCTTGGAACCTCTAAGTATGTTGAAACAGATCTCCTAAGTTGTGCTAAAGCCTTAGGGCTTTATGTGCCGTCAATTTAACTTATTTAACCTTCATTGCTTTAGATGTGGGAGAAATGGTTGGTTTTACTGGAAGAGCTAAAGGTTAGTAGATTAGTAGCTAGTGTTCATAAGCGGGGGGGGCAGGGGGGAAGCATGTTTTGAGGAAGAATTGCTGTCATTGTTGATGTAAGCATAATATAAAAGGTAAACTGTCATAACATTTTGGCATTTGTGGAATATACAAGCCCCATTGTTTGTCCTAGTGCTACCTAATATATTTATTAAACTGTAGCAGGGAATGGTTGAACTTAAGGAAAAAGATTGTTTGATTACTTGACATTTTTAACTCTGTTTTGAAGGGCAAGTAGAACATCTTTCAATTCCATTGATCTAAGTATAAGCTTTACCAAATGCCTTGCTTTCTGTGTCTACTACATGTGCTTACATTTAATAAGCAATCAGTTATTTATATGCAGGTCCCAAAGCCTACAGGAGTTAAGAAAGGGTGGCAGAGAGCTTATGCAGTTGTCTGTGACTGTAAGCTGTTCTTATATGATGTGCCTGAAGGAAAATCCACCCAGCCTGGAGTTGTTGCAAGTCAAGTCTTGGATCTCAGGTTTGTATTATTATGACAGAGTATAAACCCTCTGTATTTTTTTACTATCAGGAATATTTATTTATAGTACATGAGAAATGTTAAGATCATGAGAGCTCTGTCCAACAAGACTTGTGTGTTCTGTATATAGACTGCAGCTATATACAGTTTAGTTAGGCTAAATTAGTTGTCTCAGTAGCAAGTCACTGAAGTGTCTTTATAGTCACTTATACTACAATCATTAATATTTACAATGTTATTAGCATGGTTCTTCCTAGAATTCCATAGGCACACATAGAAAAAAAAAAAATAGACTTTGTTAGATTGCTTTTCCCTGCCACGCACTCTGACCTCAACCTCAAATCACAGATCATCCCCTACCCAGTAATTTCAGGAACATTATTAAAACAGAAGTAGTCTTAAGAAAAACACCAACTAATTGGCAGGACAAGTAGTTTTTGACCCTGCCTTCTGACAGGAGTTACTTTTTCATGGTGAACCACTTGAACCACTGAGTACTGTCTGCAAAAAGATCTGAGACTTACATCGATCAGAGTAACCAAAAAGTTTGTTTCCATTTATGGAAATATCAATAAAGTGTAATACCTTTTAATGTTACAGCACCTTCTGTCTCTGTCGAAGTTGCTTGCCGCAAGCACCTTGATCTGTATTTTTTCCAGGCAGTAGACTGTGGGCTTGCACCAGTGCTGCTGTTCTGTTCTCACATTTATTCTCTGAGAGCTGTCAGCGTCAGCTCTCTCTGACATGCTGACAGCAGGAGCAGAAGTGTGGAAGTGTTGCAAATAGCAGCATTCACATTAGTACATTGCTTGAAGCAACTTAGCCAGATACTGTATCAGCTGTCCAATGCTTTATCTGCTTATTGTAGCTGCCTCTTTGAATCTGTCTTCTGAGGATTCTTGGATGTTTTAATAGATGTTAACTATCGCAGCTATGAATTCTAGCATGAGCAGGTTTCAGGCATTAGTGTCATCTTTACACTAAAATTGGCAATTATGGTGATCAGCTTGGTCACATTCAGTTTAAAAAGGCTTGTGTAGTCAAGCCCTCTAGGGTGGAGCACTCTGAAATGCAAAAGTTGTTCCAGTGTCTGTTTATTTTACTGTAATAGAGAATAAAATCTAGCTGTTTTGAAAGCCCTTACTTGAATCCCACAAACTATAATTATGTTGCCAAGAGCTTTTTATGTGATTTTTTCTTTTTTTTCCAAAGGCCCTTCTCTTGCTACACATTGAGGTATGAATTATTCATTTCTAATGTGTCTGCTGGGCTGGAAGAGCAATATTCTTGCTGCTAATTGTAGATTAGATGTGGCTGGTAAACCAAAACTACATAAAGCCACCCCACTTAACTTCAGGTGGACTGAGTTACACGTACTAAATGCTGTAGAAACATAACTAAAGCTTGTGAGTTGTTTAGGTCAAGGATTGTTAGAGCATAACAAGCAGTGATGGCAGTTGTGACCTCTGTGCGCTGCTAGGAGATTGCAGCCTATTGAAGCAGTTGCAATATCAATTAGATTTTGTTGAATGATGTTAGTGTGGGCATGTATGTGATTCTCTTGCTCTCTTTCTTACTAGAGATGAAGATTTTTGTGTGAGCTCTGTCCTAGCATCGGATGTAATACATGCAACTCGTAAAGACATCCCTTGCATATTCAGGGTAAGGCTATCAATTTACCTTTAAAGAAAATACAAGCTAATTATGAGTGTTTTGCTTTGACAGCAAAGTACATTACCCATATTTAATGTTTAAGTTACGAAGAAGTATAAGAATTTACAAGGGCTTCTGAAATGTGTAGAGGAGCAGTGTGATACTCCTCTTATAACTGAATTGTAAAGAACAAAGTTCTCTTTCTTTTGTTACTTCCTTATATACAATGCTTGGCTTTTTTTATTTTCTTGATTATAATAGTGTAGTCTCCTCTTCCATTGGTATTACCAGATCCTGGTTTTTCTTTCTTGGCTTTGGAGGACTCTTGCTTCAGGAACTGATGCTGTAACACAGTAGGCTGAAGCTGGGTTGTGCTCACTGATTCTAGTTTTGTCATGTGTTGTCTTGTACATTAAAAAAAAAAAAAAATTCCATTTCCTTAATTCCATACTGAAGTATAATAGAAAAAAAAATTAAAATTAGAAAATGATTAGCTTGGTATAATATCCTCTTGAGTGTATCTTCTCTCTGAACGCTGTGTTTTGTTTTTAATAACATGAACATCTTTCTTAGGTTTTATGTGGATTATATTTAATTTGAAATTTTAAAATACAGAGAAGAGTAGATCAGTAACCATTATCTACAATCTCTTGCATTTAAATACACAAACTCACTGTTTTCATAGTCTCTGATCCTCAGTCATACAGAATCAAGTCAGTGGAACATGGAGGCCAAAGAGCTGACAGTCACATGCAGTCCAAATCATTTGGTCCTTTAGGGTTTTGCATAGGAGATGTCTTGGCTACTTGAAAGCTTCTGTGGCTTTGTTTTTCTCCTTTTATGTAGAAATATTTTCTGCAGTGAATTTCTATCCTTTAGTTTGCTACTATTACTTTTGTTTTTCTCTTACTTTTTTCTAAATGGGTTTTGTTTGATGGAGTTTTTTTATTCCCATCTGCCTGCTTTCTTCGCAAATTAGCAAACACAGAATACTATGGGAAGCAATTTCTGAGGAGAGAAAATGAGCTATACAGAATGGTGGTTGATTTGTTTAAGAACAAGGCATTCATACATTGTAACCTGCCTGACTTGCTGCTCTAATTTCTGCCTGCAGTTTGTAACTGAAAATGTATCAAAGAAAAAAGTCAAATATAACCCCATGTAAGAATACTTCTGTGGATAAACACGACAAAATGTCTCCAGTTTGATCAGGTCGTCCCCTACTTAAGAGATCTGATATGAATTACCTGGAAGTCTGGTTTGTGATTGTATCCGTTTAGATACCCTTTTGAAGGGGCCAGAGAAAGCTGCCAAAGTCCACCTCTCTTCTCAGTTTTATGTTCTCCTTCAAAAAAGGAATTTCTAAAACTGTAAACCAGTAATGCCTGATATAAGAGAGTTTATTTTCTGCCTTTCATTTAATGCTAGTTTTCCATCTTGCTAACATAATGACATAGAGTGACTTCTACACGACAGCTAAAACTGTTAAGTCATCTGTGTAAAAATCTGATCCTTCTTTCATATGTATAATTTCATGTAACAATTATGATATTGGTGGCCCACCAAAGACAGATTTTCATTTCTTTTTGATCTTCCATCACCAGAAAGCAATACCAGAATGCTGCCAAACACTAAAATATTGCCACCTCTAACCCCCCATGAAATCAAGAAGAGGGAGAACTTGTCTCAGACTTGTATCTCTCCTTGGTAACCAGATTTTAAAGCTGGATGTTAGGCCATTGAACACTGTAGTTTAAGTGCTGCCATTGATACATGGCTGCCAAGAGTAGTGGAGTCCTTACACAGTTTAACAGTTAGAGCTAACGAGCCTTGAGTTTCATAGCAAACACTGGATTTTTGTGTGATGAATAATGCTATTTCTATTATGACCAACTTCTCTGATTATTTTTTTTCCACATGTGCCTGCATTAAGATGCCTCCTTCAAAAGACCAAGGAGTCTAGCAATACATCAAAAGCAAAACCATAGCTGAAGTCAGATTTGGTTTGGTTTGGTTTTCAGATTTATAAATAGTATCCATTACACCCCCGTCTTTAAAATATTAATGCTTTGTTACAGCTTAGATGTGAACAAAGCTTGGTGCAGGGTAATAACAACTACAAGCAATTGGAAACTACTCAGTTCTTTTCCTACTGCTTTTCACTTTCATTTTACTTCTGAAGTTCTGTCTTTGACATCATATTGTCCCAAATTTACTTTCAGATATATTTTATCTTTAAGATGAGTGTTGTTTAATTCACTCTTCTGGGAAGAGTATGTTGCGTAACTGTATCACCCTCCTTTATGGTGTTTTCCTTATCAAGGCATATAGCTGAAGGTGTGTTATTCCACGTTACAACCTTCAGTTCTGCACTTCTGTAGCTTTTGCTGCCTTTTTCTATTTATTCTAAAATCTGTTTTGAGGACTGATACTGGCTAATGGCCTGTTTGTCTGTGACTGAAAGCACAGTTCCCATGATCTCACAAACACTCCAGTCTCTTCATACAGGATACAAAACTTATGTTAGGAACTACTAAGTGCATACTTTGGACAACAGAAAGGTTTTGGATAGTTTTTCTATTTCGACTATGTTCTGCTTTGAGATCCTTAGGATAGTTTACCTGAAAATTAGGTGAAGTCACAGTGATTTCCTTTTAACATGGGGAAGTGGGAGAATGCAGTATTTCAGTCTCAAAACATTGCTTTTCTTTAAAGCTTTTAATGCACATAAAATGTGCTCTTCCTCCTGGACAAATACTTTGAGAATCAAGTAGCAAAATCAAAATGTAGAACTGATCCTAGCAATGCCATTGTGTTTAAATGCATCTGACTGAGAAAGCATGTGAGTCATTTAAAGGAAGTTATCAAAAAATGCTGGGGGAAGGAATCAGGGCAAATTAGGGCATGCTACTGCAATTTCAGTTCAGAGCAGGAAGGAGCCTTTTACTACAATGTACTGATTATTGTAGGAAAGAACTGTAGCGTACGTTGCCCATGTTTTAGGATTCAGAATGATTAAGCAAGACTGAGTATTTTTAAACACAGCCACTGTAGCTAGTGTGGGGTTCTTTGAAGCACTGTGGTCGTATTAGCTGTGTGCTGCATTGCATATCCCTCAGGTATGTCATCACGTTGTAATGAAAAAAAGTACATTTTACTTTCACACTTCTGTGATGTATATAATACTGACAAAAAAGGCTCTTATTACTCTTACTAATTTAACTCTCTCTTGTTAAAAGGTGACAGCTTCTCTCTTAGGTTTGCCTTCAAAGTCTTGTTCTCTACTCATCCTGACGGAAAACGAGAATGAGAAGAGAAAGTGGGTTGGAATCCTAGAAGGGTTGCAGTCTATCCTGCACAAAAACAGACTGAAAAACCAGGTTGTGCATATTCCACAAGAAGCTTATGACAGTACACTGCCTCTTATTAAAGCAAGCTTAGCTGCTGCTATTGTAGGTATGTTTGCTTTCACTTTCATAAATGCATGAGGGTTATTGAAGCTTTTAGATGGGTTTCTGTAGTGAGAGCACTGACACCTTGAAATAAATTCCTCAGCTGAATTCCTTTGTAGGAATTTAATAATGGAGGGAAATGCTAGTCTTGCATTGATACTCAGATTTCTTCATCCATTCAGAGTAAATAACATTACTCAGTTGTTTAACAGGTTATAGAAGTATGATATATAGCATGCATTTGACAGATTGCATGAAGTTAAGCAAAATTGATTTGCTGTTGAAAATCTGTTTGTCCAGAAATTTTTACAGCTGTTCAAAGCAGTCTGTTCTAAAGAGAAGATTAAGTGGAGTTGAATTAATAGCCTTTTTTTGTTGTTGTTATTTTCCCTTCTTGGTTTAGATCAAGATAGAATAGCAATTGGATCAGAAGAAGGGCTGTATGTGATAGAGGTGACCCGCGATGGTAAGTTAGGCCATAATGCATGCAGTAGTTGCATAGAGAATAATGAGCTCCATCACTTCTAATGCTGCTATAATATAGGTTATACAACAGCCCTTCATGTATGTTAAGTACTCAGTTAATTGATGAGAAGGAAAAGTGAATGTGAGATACAAGCACTAATTTCATCATTATCATTACATTTGGTTGACTGGCTGAAATTAAAGGGATGAGTTACTGAGCATATTCTGACACATTCTCACCTTAACTGTGTTCCCACAGCAGGTAACAAAATGCTTCAGCACACAGAGCACGCACAGCCCACACAGCAGCAGTTGATGTACAGTGAATTATCAGGCACTTACTAAATAGAACGTGAATTGAGCAAGAAAAACTTGACATCAAAGCAGACTTACTCCAACCTGTACCATCGACACTGGCACGAATTAGAAGCTAGACAGCCAGTGCAAGCAACACAAGAGTTTGTAGACTTCCCATTAAAACTACTACATATTGTTGTCTGTTTCTTCCAGAAATTTGACAACCACTTGCATTCTGTTTCCTGATGACGGCCAAAGCAAATGCCTTGCTTGCCCACTTTCCACTATCTCTTAATCTCCCTGACCCCATGCTTCCTTCTGAACCTGCTTTTTTCTTTCTGCTCTTAATGAATTCTGCCCTCTGCTTTGGGAAGAATGGAATCCATTTAGCGTGGTCTTCCAGAGGACTTAGCATGTCCATTCCAGAAATTCACAGAGTGTGCCCCAGATACTAAAACAAAGCATATGCTGCATAGTCACTGGGCAGCACAGGTTTATCCCTCTATTGTATTGTTAGGCATCACAGCTAGGGAGTAAGGGAAGCATTTTTCACTTTACCCTGATACACTGAGCACAAATGCAAATAACAGTGGGACACATGCCTTGGTATGATGGGGAAAGCTTGGAGGCCAGGTTTGCTATCACATGAGTACAGGGATATCTGTGGTAAATCCATACAAAATACAGTTTTGAGCATGGAAAAGCAAAGACCAAGTCTGTTTAATTTTGCTGTCTGTTTCCAATGTAAGATATTTTTATTTTGAACAAAAAAAATGAATAAACTAATTGAATTAAACTGAATTTGTAGAAGTTAAGTAACATATTTCTAAGAAGCAGTGCAGATTTAAAATACATTCATCTACTACTGTTTATGCTTTTCCAAATTACCATAGGAAATATTTGTTGGGTTGGGTTTTTTTTCTCTGAATCTAAAAGCACCAAACATACCTTGTAAAAATTCTTATAACTCCTGAGGCACTCTAAATTTAGACAACACTCTAGATCCATGGTTTTTTGTGGTATAAGAGGTAACAACCTTGGCTTTCTGATAGTATTGTTTCTAACAAAATACCCAGTGCTCTCTTCACCTATATTTATAACCTTTAAACTTGGGTTTTTCTGTTGTCTTCAACTATGTGGGAGTTGAGGATGTTGAGGTCAGTAAGACAGATTTGTGAAATTAAGAAGTGCCATTTCCACATTTGGAAGAATCACTGAGACAATCCTGAAATATCCCTTTGATTGTTTTTAGTCATTGTCATTCCAGTTTCAAGAAAGTTGGCATCGATGGAAGAACTTGAATTTCCTTTTTCAATGCAGTTAAGTTTGTTGCAATTTGAAAGTTGGATTGCAGTCATGCTAAAAGTTGCATTTAATGTAAAATAAAATAGTGAATAGAGGTTTTTAAAGACTTCCTTGACTTTCAGAAACAAATGAAGTCAGGGGTGTGATTTTTCGGGCCAGAAAGCAAAATGTTACTGCTGCTTGTTGCTTGGAATAAGGCATTGCCCAGTTCCAGGAGAATCTGCATTGCACAGGGAGACAGCAGGTATTTGAAATTCTTTTTAGTAGTAATAAATGCCATTCCTTTGAGCAAGCTTGCAGTGGTTACCATTCTGTAAGTATTTAGATATAAAAATAACTTTTGATGCAAGTAATTCCAGAGATTCCAATACAGCTTCATGTGTAAAAGAAAATTGTGCACTGAACTTAAAAGGTCATTTCATAAAAGAATGATTATCTGCATCACCATGTCATATGGAAATGTGAAAAGGATTTACCAATTCTGGTTTTAAATTATAAAATGTTTTGCAGGGGTTTTCTGTGCCAAGTTCCTGTATATTAATAGATTTTTTTATAAATTGTAATCCCTTATTTTATGGCAGTTGTAATTTTCAGTGTTAATTAGCTGCTGGCTGCTCGTCTCAAAGGTCTTTGGTCAGAACATCACTTACTTCTTGACAAGTAAACTAAACTGTAAGCTGAAGTTGGAGCTAGGGAAAAAAACCTTTCCCTGTGGCAAAGTTCTAAGCTAGTTATTTCATAGAACATTTCTTGAGACATATCATCTATTTGTGCAAGGGGGAGAGACACCACAAAAGCACTCGGATTTGTAATCTGAACAGCCAAGGTTGTTCCAAAGTTTACAGAATTTGGTAACTTGGCACGGTTATTCAACTATTGCTGAAAAAAATACCTAGTTTACTTTTAAAATTATTATTCACAAATATTTTTAATACATTCAACTAACAGAAAACTGAAAGTTCCATTTTAATATAACTGGCTTATGCTGTATGTTTCCTAGTTTGGAATTGGCTCATTTCTTCTGTTTGTTCCCCATGAAATACTCACTACTTTCCTGAAAGTGCCTGTATACCCACAGTCCCCAAAGCAGAACATATTGTACCTAACCCTCTTAGTTGCCTCTAACCCTGTTTTAAAGAAGGTAAAACTCCCCAGCTTCCATGGTAGCCTAACTAGTCCTTACTGTGAGAAGGCTTTTCCTGGCACCTGTCCTAAACCTCTCTCACTGAAGCTTAAATTTGTTCCTCCTTATTCTTTCCCCATCACACAGCATTTTTTGCTTTTCCATATGGGTGTTTGACACCTGCTTACTATTTTGCTTTTGTGTTTGGCTAAGACATTTTCCAGCAGTACAGCATTTTTTATACTCAATTATCATCATTAAATACTTTGTATTTCTTCTCTTTGTGTTCTGCTAATTTGGTCTTCCTCTGTAATCTACTGAAGATGCAGATATTTTCCTGAAGGTGGGACCCATTTCAGTAGATACAGCATCTTGCAGTGTATAGATAGTACAGATGTTATGTAAAAAATTTTCTGTTTATCCCAGATGTTAAGCAGTCTTTTCCTGCAAAGTGTTGCTGAGACTTTGTCTCAACAGAATGAGTTGCAGGAATGCTTTGTTTCATTGTTTGTTCTGAGAATTAATAACAAAGGATTGAATATGTATAATAAGTACTCTTTCTTATCTGGTACGTGTCACTGTTTAGATTCATTTTCAGACATCAGTATATAACACTGCAGTGTTTCCAGGCCTGGTGGTTTTCTTGTTTAACTTACAGCACCTCTTGTTTCCTTTGCAGTGATAGTCCGAGCTGCTGACTGCAAGAAGGTGTACCAGATAGAGCTTGCACCAAAAGAGAAAATTGTCATCCTCATCTGCGGTCGGAACCATCATGTTCACCTTTACCCTTGGGCGTCTCTGGATGGGTCAGAAGGAAACTTTGACATTAAACTTGCAGAAACTAAAGGCTGCCAATTGATTACAACTGGAATGCTAAAGAAAAGTTCCTCAACGTGTTTGTTTGTGGCTGTCAAGCGACAGGTTTTTTGCTATGAAATTCACAGAACTAAACCTTTCCACAAAAAATTTGGTGAAATTCAGGCTCCAGGAACTATACAGTGGATGACAGTGTTCAAGGACAAGCTCTGTGTTGGCTACCAGTCTGGGTTCTCTCTGTTGACCATCCAGGGAGATGGACAATCTATAAACCTGGTAAATCCTAATGACCCCTCACTTACCTTCCTCTCACAGCAGTCTTTTGATGCCCTTTGTGCTGTGGAGCTCAGTAATGAGGAATACCTGCTTTGCTTCAGCCATATGGGAGTATACGTCGATTCGCAAGGTCGAAGGTCACGCATGCAGGAACTAATGTGGCCTGCAACTCCTGTTGCCTGTAGTATGTATATGTTTTTCTGTTGTCATATCCCTGTTGCTGCTTTACTTGTCTAAAAATAATCAGCATTGTATTCTATTTTGCTTGGGTTTGTCTTTCAACATTAACAGTTTAAGTTCTGATGAGTTAACAGGATACATAGTTCTTCATGATGGTAGTTTTGGAATTGGCCGTCTCCTGGGCTGAGATCCTGAATGCTGCGAGAAGCTCTGTCTTGGTACAGGACACAGAAGAACAAATAATGGGATAAAAAACTGCAGAGAATAGTTCTGGATGCAGGACAGTGCAACGCTACTGGTCTGTGAAATTCTGTAAAGATTGTTGCTCCCCTAGAAAGTGTAACTGTCTAGTTGTCTGTAGGATGTCTTCTGTGTCCTGTACTCAAAGTGCAATAGAAAATTGAAGAAGTGTAACCGAAACTCAGTTTCATAAAGATAACAAAATGGGAGGTAAAAATACGACTTTTGGCAGAACTTATAGCGGGGTTTTTGTTATCCTTTTGGTTCTATTTTTAGGGGAAGAGTTTCCAAAAATAATATAGGCAGGTGGAGGGTAATTTTTCAACCCCTGTGCTTGTTTCAGGAGCATTGTTTCATCAGCTAGTTAGGATAGAAGCACGTGAGCATTTTTAAGTGTTCAGTAGTTAAAGGCAGTTAATGATAAACCTGGGATTTCTGTTTGGATCTCAAACAGCAATTAAAATGTTTTGAATGATGGAAGGCAAGAAATAGCTTTTTGTTTAAATACTACAGTAAGCAGTTAGGTGCACATTGATCAGGCCAGGCCATAGCCCTAATGGAAGTTTGTTTAATTTTAATTGTCTTGAACTGAAATTGTTTGCTTGCTTTATTCTGACCTAGTTCTGTACAGAAGTCTGAAACAAGGGCCCAAGGAAACAATGTAGCTGCAAATTTACTTCAAAACACCATTAGCCAAAGCTAATGTTTCCTTTCCCTTTGTCCGCTTTAGTTCTTTTGCATTTCAGCAAACTAGGCTTGCTAGACAATGGTTTTGTCTGTTATTACTAGAAGCTGTTTTTACTGTAAACTGTTTCACAGCATTCTTGTATGTGCAGTCCTGAGTGGCATTGGCCTAAGGCTGGTTTTGTAGAAAGAGCAATTTTTTCTGCTGCCAAAGGAAACTGTATTGCTTTCCTTTTCATTAGCCTCGTCCTCCCTCTTTATTCCTAGTGTCAGTGACTAATGATGGTGGCTGTTTTTAACTGTTCCATCAGGAGATCATCAGAGTGCAAATGGTTCTGCCCCATTATAGTTTCTGCTGTGGTAAAGGACCATGTTGTAGGAGAGGTTTTAGTGTACAATGGAGAAAATGTTTCTAAGGCATTCAGTCTGTTCATGCTAGGAGAAGCTGAGGTCTGTGCTAACACAGTCAGCTCTTATCTTGTGTGGCCTGTCTAGGTTGCAGCTAAACCAGCTTAATGTGCTGGTTCTGTGAAGAGTCAGTGTAGGTGTTGTGGGGCTGCTTGGCTTGAGTACAGCACAGTGCAAAGATGTGGAGCCAGCAGGTCTCAATGCTGTAGCGTGGGCAACCCCAGCACAGACACATATGTGTCTCTCTGCGAACCAGTGAGGTCTGATCAAGCTCATCATCTCTGATTGGTAAGTGCTGCCTTGGCTACAAGCTGGCCAGGCAGGAGCAGTTGGTGTTTGTGTCTGATGCTCAGTAGTGTCCTTTGATTTGGACTTCCAAGCCAGCCATGACCCTGTATAGTAAATACTTGACTAGAAATCACTTCTGGGATATATATTTAGGATAGCTGTCTGAGGCTTTCTGTGAATGAATTTCAAAAATAGCACCACAACCTTACTTCAGTTCTTCTAAGAAGATTCTGTGGTGTGTTTGATTTCCTACTGGGTTATTTTCCTTTTGTTTATTGAAGCAGCTCTTTTCTCTATTAAATCTCATAAATTTCTAGTAACTGCTCTTTACATAAGGACACAGCCTTTACATGAGTGAGGCATATTGGTATGAAGCTCTGAGGATCTCTGCTTTTCATTTGACCTAAAATAAACTTGTCTGCTGATGCCTTTTATGCTTAAAAAAAAAAAAGAGAAAATGGGTTGTGGGCTTTAAGCATTGTGACATTTTTCTGTTAACTTGATGAAAGCAGCCCATACGTGAATATCTAAAGCTAGATAATTGTTAGCAAAAGAGGAAGGAAATTGAGAACAGATCCACATCATGACTTCATGACCCACCTCACAGATGGTGGACCTCTCTTTTCCCCTGCAGCAGATGTATAGTTAGTTTGCTGCTTCCGAAATGAAGTAATCTGCATCTATAGAGAAGCTAGCTGCTCGCTTCCTGCCAAGTAGCAAATTTGTATGCGTCTGAAAACTTCAGATGCCATTTTGCAATTTCATGAAATCATAATTTGAAGTTTAAAAATACTGAAAGGGTCAAACTCAAATCTTTCCATGATGCTGGAGTTGTCGTTAGCGAAACTTACCACAAAAATATCTGTTTGAAAGCAGGGCTGGGAGAAAGTGGTTTAAAATGTGTATTTCATGAAGTGGAAAACATGTAGCTATTGAAATTTGCCCAAGTGTATGTCAGTTCTGGACTACTGAAACCACATCAGGGTTTTATGCTTCTTTTTAATCTATGCAGGTTGCAATTCTTCGTATGTAACAGTGTACAGCGAGTATGGTGTTGACGTATTTGATGTTAACACTATGGAATGGGTGCAGACTATTGGCCTGCGAAGGGTAAGTAGTTTTCTTTAGATATAGAACTTAATTGGGCTAATTCCGCATTGAGATATTTCTTCACAGTGTATGCTAGGCTTGAGTTAATTCTCTGCCTCCTTCCTCAAAACAGATCAGACCATTAAACATGGATGGCACACTGAACCTCCTTAACTGTGAGCCACCAAGGCTAATATATTTCAAGAACGCGTTTGCAGGTGAGTACTGAGCAAGGGGAGAAATGGGAAAATGATATGAACCTAACAGGACAATTTTAAGCAATGTTGCCTTTGCATGAGATGTGTCTGGGTCAACATATACCTATGTATATGAGATTGCATTATGATATTACAGCAGGAGCTGTCCTCAGTGTACCAGAAACATCTGACAACAGCAAGAAGCAAATGCTTCGAACTAGGAGCAAAAGAAGATTTGTATTTAAGGTTCCTGAGGAAGAGCGATTACAGCAAAGGCGGTAAGAATTTAATCGTGGTATGTAACTTCAGATATGATGATGTGCAGAGACTGGGAATGCTGATAGTAAAAATCACTCTGTTCTTCTAGGGAAATGCTTAGAGACCCTGAGCTAAGGTCAAAGATGATTTCTAACCCAACGAATTTCAACCACGTGGCTCATATGGGACCAGGAGATGGAATGCAGGTTCTCATGGACCTCCCGCTGGTAAAATACATTTTAAAGAGAGAGAGATATATGTGCATTTGTTCTTGCTCAGAAAAACTGTGAAGATGAGCTGTATGGGGTTCAAGTATTGTCTTTGTACAGAATTCTTCATTTAGTCATTTTGAGAAAGATAAACCTTCCTAATGTGCAATGCAAGGAAATAGTGTTAGCTGACTTATGAACAAGACACTGAAAGAAACAGGTATCACTGCCAGGACCTTGTTGGTAATTTTGTAAATAACCAGCCTCTCCTCCTTCCTTTTTCTTGTTTGTCTTCTTAAAATAATAGAATGAACTTATTTCCCCCTCATCCTCACAGCATTCTGCTCTGCTGTCACCTCCAACAGGCTTTGAGCATGTCTATCACATGAGCTCTGTCTCTGCTGAAACCTTTCTCAAGAGTGACCATTCCTCACTGCAAGGCTCCCCTCTGCTTTCTTCCTCTTCCTGTCCCTCCTCTGCTTCCCTATCCAAGGGCAGGAGTAGCTACGAACTGTTAGGAACTGGAGTGGTGTGCTTGTGGCACTTTGCCAAATCTAGAGCAAAAACAAGGAAGGGGGAAACTAATACTGTGAAGGTAACTAACATGCATGTAAGTTGCAGTGCTTTATAGCATTTTTATTTTGTATTTAACAAATACAGCATTTTATAAGCTATTTTAGTGTTAAATCCAAGAGAGGAAGGTAAAAAGGTACACTTTTATGTTCCGTACCTTCCATTTTATAGCTGCTAGTCGAGCTTTCTCTTGTCTTTCTCAGGTAGCCCAGATGAGTGTAATGCATTTGTCCTTTCAGCAGGAGGAGGAAGGAAAGCAGAGCTGTTGGTACAGTCCCTGCCCCTTCATAGAGAGTTTGCTGGCTGACAGGTTCCAGTGGCTGCTGTGGGGCTTAGTTCTTTCTCTGTCTTTCTCAGGGTTTGTGTCTGTTACTGAAAATATGTGGATGTGGTCAAGTAAGTTCAGTTTTTCTACCAACACTGGTTGTAATAGCTTCAAAAGCACAGTACAGTTTTCATGAGTAACAGCTCCTAATTGGATCACTTTTGCTGCTAACTAACAAGGTGTTTCATTTCAACTGCAGAGTGTTCTACCTGCTGCGCAGGATGAAAAACCATGTCCATCTACGGCTAACCTCTCACGGCAACAGCAGCAGCAGAGAAACAAAACCTATATTTCATGGCCCTCATCAAGTAAGGCTGAAAGCAAGCTTGTCAGTTTTGAGTTGTAAGTTACAGGTTCAACAAGAGGTGTAAACCTGTCTTTTTTTCCTTCTTTCTCTGCAGGTGGCAGTGATGTGGGAGGAGCTGTGCCTTCCCGAAGTATGTCTGATCCTGACCAGGAGTTTGACAAAGAGGTAAAGTAGCTTTTATTAAATGGAGACTGACGATACCCTGTTGCCGTAGATTTTTTTTCTTCCAACAAATTAAATTTCTGAGGAAATACTTCATAAAAACTGTGTTCTTTATGGAGATGTTTTCCTTCCACAAATATTTTCTCCAGCCTGGAAGTTAGAGACGCCAGCCCAGAAGTAAAGCTGTGAAAAGATCTTTTTATAGTGATATTTTAAGAAGTATTATGTCTTGGATTAAGCTTTGTAGACAAGGGAAATGTGACTAATTGATGAAGTGTCCTCAAAGCTCCTAAAAATGTTCTCTGGGTTATTAGCATAGAATAGCAAAGTAATACGACTAGTTAAGTCATTTTCTGTGCTGCCTTAAGGAAGACTTTTTCTCTTGTAACTTGAGTAGGAACCATATTTTAAAATAAGTAAGACTGCTTTTAGCAAGAGTGAAAGTATGTGCCAGTAGCCACTAATCAGAAATGTCCTGGCTGTACGAAACTGGTGTTGCTGAATCAAGAGAGAAGATGTCATTTTTATTTCCTTGATTTATCGTGGGTGTAGATTCTTCTAAGCTTTACTCAAGCACTGCCTGTGCAAGGGAAGTGTTAGGCAAATAATAATCTGAGAGGCAAACCCCTAGATCAGGATCTTTGCATCTTTAGTGCTTTCTGGTGCCCAGCCGCAGGCCCGTGTAATGTTCTGGTTTTTGAAGGGTGTTTTCCTGAAGGCAGATGTTTGCAGGGTGCTGTAGCACACCCCAAGTCAAAGCACTTGTCCAGAGTTCTGATCACAGCTATGCTCCAACTTCCTTTGTTGCCTTGAATAAGCCATTGAAAGTGTGCTAGAATAAGAATTTCTAAATACAAGTATTCTTTAAAGTGTCTTGATCTTCCAGATGATGCACTGTGTCAGTTGACTTAGGTTTTCTGCGGCATCCTTCCTGAATTCCAAGTTCCATGCTTTAATGATAGTTGCTGTTTGTAAGCACAAGTAGTGGTGAATTCTAAGGTTTTTACAATGTTTTCTTTTTCAGTAGATGCTACAATTTCTTATGACTCCTTAACAGTAGTTTGAAACTTGAAAAGGGAGGCTCTAATAACACCCTTTGGCTTTATTTAGGCTTTTGGCTTTATCGCAGCATGAACTGGAACGTGTTAGGATAATCTTGTTATGGATGATCTTACTATTGTTTGAGTCATGTGAAACCCTGTGAACAGCATTCTTGCAGGATATTACCTTTCAATCTATTTGCTAAATATGCATTCCGTTTCTTGAAAATAACTTGCTGTGGTAGTAGCGGGTTTTCCTGTGCAGTATTTCACTAGCTGTGAATGTGTGCAGTGCTCAGAGTTGTAACTCACCAAAATAGTGGGAAACATGCCAGCCATCCTGTTGAAGTGAGACCAGTCTATGAAGGCAAATATTCAGCAACCAACCTAACGCTGGGGAAGTAACTGTGGATAGACTGTCTTTATTAGATATTGACGCAGGGTGTCTCCAGTAAGTATATTCTGTTTCCAGACCACCAGGCTGATACTTGGCAAGCTTCACTCTTTTGTCAGGCACTTCACATGCTTTTGCTGTTTTGTAAAGAGTTCGTATGCTTGCTTCCTTCCTTCTCACCAAACTGAAGATGATTTGAATGTAATTATTTACATGTTTATATGGACAGATAAATCTCCTAGGCTATAAAAACTGCTTAAAAAACACAGGCTGGTAAATCCAGAGCAACGGTGGACAAAGAGACTCTTTCAGACAGGAAAGCTTTGCAGTGGCTAGAGGATCCTGAGGTGCAGCAATTTCCACTTGCTTTGCCATAATTCCTGTTATGTCAGGAGGTCACCTTCAGGACTGCACTAGAGCCTGTTGATGATAATGGAAGTATTTGCATGAATGTTTAGCACTGAAGTAAATTTGATACACACGGCTTCATAAGTGTTGCTCACACTAATTTTTGAGTGCCTTTGAAAGCTTTGAAGTGTGAAGAATTGATTTTAAGTAAGCATTTATTTTTTTTTTCCATGTTTCTCATTAACAGCCTGATTCAGACTCCACCAAACACTCTACTCCCTCCAACAGCTCAAATCCAAGTGGTCCCCCCAGCCCCAACTCTCCTCATAGGAATCAGCTTACGCTAGATGGACTGGACCAGTCAACCTGTGATGCATAACGCTACCGCTGTCACTACTCTGGCTTTGATCATCCACTACTCTGTGGAGTATTCAAGAGCAGGGCAAAGCTTTCTCAGATGCTAGTGCCAAGACTGACACTGAATCTCTAGTGTTGTACAAGAATATATATCCAGATTGTAGATACAAACCATTGAAATGAAGAAAATTCTTTACTAAATAGTGATCAAGCTTTTTATGCAGAATTGTTCACTGCTCAGTTACGGTTGATTCCTTTCTGCACAGCTGTGACACAGTTTTATTGCATAGGAGCATTTAAGGCCACCAGTAAATAGTCTTATTCTTATGCTGAAAGAGGAATAGAGAGAGATACTGATAATGTTGCTACAATATCAGGAATATTATTTTTCTATAGAATGATGTAATGTCTCGTTAGCAGGAAATCCTTTTAGACACAATTTGGACCTCTAAATAGGAAATGCAGGTCTGGTTACATCCTCAGATGAATACTGTCTTCCCTTTTTCCCATAACTATTTGTTTCCTAAATCTTAAGGAGAATGCTAGGAAGCTGTAGGTTGTTTCCAACATCAGTAGAATCACCAGGAAGTCAAATGAAAGTTGGTTATAGTTTTGTGGCCTTTTAATTCATTTAGCCATTACATATACAGCTGCATAACTGTCTTTCTATCTTTCTACCAACTTCTTAGTCTTGTACATAGGACTTACTCCCAGTGATCTTTTACCTATACCCTGCTTTTTAGTCCTCATCAATCAGGCATTAGTCAGGGCTTTTAAAATATCAGTAATTACTGCTGGGAAAGAAAATGTTACTCCTAGATCCTGCCTATCTCCTCCCGAGAAGTTGTTTCTCCTGGGTTTTTTGGTGTAAGGACACACTACGTTGTTTAGCTAGGACACGTCGCCCTCAAAGTCTGCTTGATCTCGCACTAAAACATCAGTCTGGTTCTTTGGTTACCAAAGTGGAACGTGAAGGACATGTAACTGGGGGTGCTGTTTTTCTCATTAATTGTATCCTCACTGCATGAAGACCCCATGATTATTAATCGAGTATTGATCATGTAGAAAAATGCACAACACACTCCTGTATATTTTGCTATGGCCCACGTGCAGTGGTGATGGTTTGTGTGTATATTTAATCTCATGCTTCCATGTATTATACATTTAGTAATCAAAAATTTGTGACCATGTTTCATTAAAAGCTTGTAATTAATTCAGCGGCTGGCATATCCGGTTTGTCATTGTCACACTAGTGTGCCTTCTGTGCCAATTTTATGACAGTTGGATGTCACTTATTTAAAAGTTGGTTTAAATGGGCTAATGATATACCAATGGCTAATGTTCTTTTCTGAAACACTGTATAGGACGTGCACTTATCTTTAGTTTAAACTGAGTGTTCTAGTCAACATTTAATCCTGTTACGTTAAGTGTTCGACAGTACTTGCTCTTTTTCTCAGATTCTTTATAAAGGGGCTCAGATGGAGCTGGACACTACTGCTTTGGGGGTTTTCTGGTTTTTACTTTTTTAATGTAAGTCTAAGTCTTTGTAATTATTGAATTGTGAGAACATTTTTGAACAATTTACCTGTCAATAAAGCAGAAGAGGGAGGTTTTAAAGTTCATAGTTGTCTGTCTTGACATCTGAAAACAGTCTGCACTACACTGACACTCACTTTAGTTTCGTGGTAAATTCACTTTGCTCACATGGATGCTTTATGTGAGCTAAAAGATAACTTGTGGAAGCTCCGTATCACAATGCTACAAGAAGGGTGTTTCTGCACATAAACGGCATGTTCAGGAGTGAGGGAAGTCCTTTCAGTGGAATACAGTGTTGAAGTTTTGTGCCCCTGGTTTGTGTTAGAGTTGTCATTTTATCGAGTCGCTGGTCCTATTAATTAATTTTTAAATTACTTATATGACTGCTTCCTCGTGGCTGAAGCATAGTGGGGAGGCTGGGGGATCTATTCAGGCACCTTAAGTGTGATAATAAAGACTTCTCACTTGTCAAAGCAGTAATTCCCAAAGAAACATTTGGGACCATTTCAAGGGCTGGAGTGTGAACAGTGCAAGCCCTAATACAGGGGTTTATTTTAAGCTCCCCTCATGCAATGCAGTGAGCATTGCAGAGCTCACTGTAGCTAGAATAGAGCCAACATCTCTAGTGAGATGTGAGGTTACATCTCTGTAACCTCATCACTTATGGAGCACCTCAGTGCTGCTGGATCATTTCTTGGTTGGTCTTGCCCATTGTTCTTCAGGTTATCTCAGTGGGGAAGGCCTGGGTGGGTATTGCGGACCCTGCTGTGCCTTGACCAAACCTACCTGGGCAAGGCCGGCAGGCTGTGGCAGGGTACCTTGGGGAGAGTGCGCTGGCACTCTGCCCTGGGGATGGGGTGAGAGCTGACAGGAGGTGTGAGGACTGTGTGTCAGAAGCTTTCTCACAAGTGAATTCATGCTCATCAGCCTTCAACTTCTAAAAAACATTTCTGCTGCTCTTGAGCTGATTTTTCTCTGCAGAGTGAGGACTGTGGATGACAACAAAGTCTTTAATTATGGGGGTATTAAATCGTAGCACTCAGCAGTGCCAGGGCTTGCTTATAATTTAAGCAGGAGAACGTTTCTAGAAAAAATAATTGCTCGGTATGAATACATTATTCCTTTCTCTTTTTTTCACCAACTCTGGCCAAGCAGAATTCCTCCCGAAGTCCTTCACCACAGCCCTTTGCAAACCTTCTGTTCCCTTAAGGCTTCTGATTCTGGTTTCCTAAAAGAGTCCTCCTTAAGCCCTCAGGAGAACTTTTAGAAATGCAGAAGCTCAGGATTTGATGTGAATATTCCTCTGGCAGTGCAGTTTCTTCTCCCTGGAGGGTACCAGTCTAGTATCACAAGTGAGGAATTGAGTTACGCAAGGAACAAGGATAATTTGGTCTTTGCTGTTCCTCTGCCCTCTCCGTTTTCACAGAGGCATTACGTCAGGGCCCGAAGCTTGGGTGATGGGTGTACCACTCACCAGAACACATTCGTCACTTCTGGCACAGATCTTTGCCCCAAAAGGCTATGTATTTTGGAATACATCCTGGTGTTGCTTGCTACCAAAGAATGAATTCATCTGCCACCATCTCTGCAGCATACACGTGCTGAGACCAGCTTCCTGCATGGGTGCAGTCTGATGGTGGGGTACATAAATACTTCATGTTTGCAGGGTAAGTGCTTAACACAGCCAAGTGACAGGGAGGGGACTTCAGCATGGAAATGCTGATGGTCCAGACACCCTTGTTTTCTGCACAGCACCAGATGAGGCATCCCAGGGAGAAAGCAGATGCATAAAATCTGAAGAGCTGGCACTCTAGTGCTGAGAAGCAGTGAAGTGTTTGAGGGAAGAGATGACTGTAGGGACTGAACTGCACCTTTAGGTGCAATTAGGCAAAGTAACAGCCAAAGGAAGGTGGCACATCATGACCACGAGCCTTGTCTTGCTGCTGAGTCTATTTTGAAAGGAAAAAAACAGAGATGGTATTCTTGCATGCTGGGCTACTAGAGCATCTCACAGTTCAGTTTGTATGCTGCCTGCTCTAAACAGCAGGTCTGGGAGGCAGAAACGAGGAGGATGTACCAAAAAGTAACATTCATCTGCCCAGCCCTTGCCTTCCGTTGCAGAGGCAGCAGGGCTGGACCTGCCTTCTCCTGGCTGCTTGCTCCTCTATAAATGCGGCTCCCCTCTCAATTCCCCCTTACAATCCCTCGTTGGCAGCCTTGGCCTCCTCGCAGCTGGTGGGGCGAGATCGGCCACTGCTGCCACCCTCACCCAGCTCAGAGAAACCCCTTTGCTGCAGGCTGAGAGCTTCTGCCCCATGGTCTGGCACGTCAGGGCAGTGGAGCGGGGTCGGAGGGGAAGGGTAGGCCAGAGGCACTGCATCAGGGAGGCAGGAGGGAAGGAAGGCACAGTGCTTGGGAAGTGCCAGCACGATGCTCCACTCCAAAGCCTTCCTAAACGTGTTTCTGGGGACATGAGGTGCTGACGAGACCGGACATCAGCTGCACGCCTGTTGCGGGATGTCACGGAAAGCCGGACGTGTGCAAAGCATGTCCCACCGGGGAATGATGCTCAGACTAGCGTTGCCAGCAGGGTTAGCCGAGGACAGCAGGACGTGCTCAGCGGGCGAGAGCTGCAGTGCTGCGCTCCAGCCAGAGGAGGAGCCTGAACTCAGGAATCAGACGGCTCCCCGTCCTTGCAGCATCTTTTTTCCCTGCTCCCCAATAAACTGCCGCACTTTTTTGTCACCTGACTACGCAGTTTTATGCAGCTTTATCGCTTGCTTGCTCATAGATAAAACTCTCAGGTTTTGGCGGCGTCGCCTGCTTTCCAGTTTTTTACGCAGTCCCTGCTCTGCGATCCCGTGAGGGAGAGCAACATAGAGCCCTGCGTGCTGATGGAGATGGCCACAGCTCTGCTGCCACCCTGCAGCGCCCTGGCCAGCTCCTGCATCCCAGTGGTGCTATCCCTCACCAAATCCCCTTTTCTGCAGCTGCTGCTGTTGCTGTCTCCTGCTACGTAAATAAATAAATAGACAGCTAAATGAGTAAATAAATAGACAAATAAATAAATAAAATGCCCCATGCCACGGCTGTTTGCAGGCTTGGTGGCATTTTGAGTGTTGCTGCCTCCTGCACTGTCTGAGCCCAGGTTCACACACCTTCTGTGGGCAGCCATAATGTGTGGTGGGAAGGCCAAATGATATGAGTTGGTGTTCATTAATAGTGTGCAGGTTGCTTTTTAAGACCCCAGCAAGCAATGGCTCCTGAGATCTTGCCATTAACACTAATGCATTTTTCATGAGTCTGTCACAGCTGGGGACCCTGGGAGCAGAGCAGAGCCACCAGGTGCCCAGCTATGCTGTGCACAGCCTCAGCGACAAAAGACAGCCACCTAATGTGCTGCTTACCACGGATATCTGCAGGTCAAACTCCTTGTTTAGGCAGGATCCCAGGAACTTGATGCTCTTAAGGTCCTTTCCAACCCTAACTATGCTATGATTCTGTGAGATTCTTAGGTACCAAACCCCTTGCATTACCCCACCTGCACAGTGTGCTGTCTGTGTGCGCCGGTGTGCAGGGTGGCCATCATGGGTACAGCTGGTTTTACAGCAGCTGGTGGCCCTCAGCATCGCAAACTGACTCCGGTGCTTCAGCTTTGTCTGCAGAGCTCCCCCCCGCATCGCTTTCTGTGCGAGCAAGCGAACACGGCTCCAGGAGGAACAGTACAGACTGTGCTCTGCTAGCACGCTGACAAAAATTGATCTCTACTTTAATTAAAGCCTCTATTGCAAGTGACCTCGAGCGGCTAATGCATTTTAAAAATGAAGCCTCGCCAGCAGCAGATCTGCACACCCTACAGAGGGGCGACCAGGCGGTGATCCATGGACCGTCTCCTCCATGCCATGTCATGCCAGCTGTGCCTCCCCAGAGGCTGCAAACTGTACCGGTACGTGCTGCGAGTCCCGCGTGCCCAGGTGGGACACAAAGCTGATGTCCTCAGGTGCTGGCAGGGGGAGGATACCATCCTGCCACCGTCTTGCGCAGTGAACTGTCCCTGTTGACAATGGGTTGCCTTTTCCCTCCTTATCATGTAGCCATGGGATTCTCTTGCCTCTCACCTTGAGCACATGTTGTGGGGATGCAGCCACTGAGACTCCTCGCAATCCTGCAGCAAGGGGTCCAAAAGTAGCACATAGACGGAGGCAGATTGCTCCAGGATGAGTGGCAAGGGGCTCCTTGGGGAGCCTTCTCCTTACATGGGGCAGAGCTGGGGCAGTGGGATGCCTGGTGCAATGGCCTCCAGCATGCAGCGCTGCCTTGGCCTCAGCTGTGGAAAAAATAAATCATGAGTATGTGTATTTAAAGGCTTGTAAGCTAGAGGAGATTCAGTCACTTGCAGTGAACTGATCTGAAAGGGAGAAAGAGCACAAAAAGGCTCTCACAGGCAGCAGGCACAACAGCTCTACAGATACGACCGCCTCCCCCTCCGCAGCGAGACCCAGCCGCAGCGCAATGCAAGACCAGCGGATGCTGCGGCTGCTCTCGCAGGCACCATGGTAACACCACGGCACCAGCGCCTCACCAGCAGCAAAGTGCGGGCTGATCATACTGCACTGTGTCCACACCAGCCCCCAGCTGCGGGGTCCTGTCCGGCATCTTGAGGACTGGATGAGGACTTTGGGGTGGGGGTGTGAACCCCTGCGTTCACGTCATGGGGTGACACTGTGCTGTGGAGTGAGTTTTGGGGACCTGGGTCACTGCTCTCCACAGAAGTGCATCACTCTTATGAGGAGAGACTGTGGGAGCTGGGCCTGTTCAGTTTGGAGAAGAGCAGACTGAGAGGGGAATCTCATAAATGCATTGAAATATCTCAAAGGCAGGTGCCAGGAGGATGGTGCCAGACTCTTTCAGTGGTGCCCAATGACAGGACAAGGAGCAATGGCCATAAACTAAAACACAAGAAGTTTCACCTCAACATGAGGAAAAACTTCTTTAGTTTTTCCTGGAACAGGCTGCCCAGGGAGGCTGTGAGGTTTCCTCCTGGTGACTTCCAGTATCTGCCTGGATGTGTTCCTGTAAGTGTAACCACCTGTAAGTAGCCCTGCCTTGGCAGGCGGTTGGAGTAGATGATCTCCAGAGGTCCCTTCCAGCCCTAATGATCCTGATTCTGTGATTCTGTGACCACGGAACGGTGGGACTCGGGTACTCCAGACCTGCCTGTGTCAGCCACCGCCTGCAGCAGCCGATGGCTTCCTCTGTGTTTTGACCCAGCTGGTGGCCGTTTCCTTCAGCACCAACTACCTGACAGCCACAGCAGAAGCTCCTGCCTGGGCAAGTTGCTCCAGTACTGCTGGAGGGGCACCTCAAATAGAGATGTGTATGGTGAAATCCCAGCGGTGTGCCCCGGAGCATGGACCTCCTACCAGCCCCAGCTCTGCCCCCTTGCAAAGCAACAGCAGCAACCAGGGCTACGGAGATGGTCCTGTTCCCTGCCTGGCTCATAGTTTGTGTCCTTCCTGCCTGCACTGCCCAGAACCAGAGGTCTTGCTGTGGGCAGGGGGGTGGCAGGGGTGGTCTCACTGCCACATGATACCCATCACCCTTCTCCAGGGCTCTGATGTGCCTAATGATGAATTCCAAGGCCTTTGAGAAGGGATTATGTCTTCCAGAGACTAGAACAAAATATAATAAACTTAAAATAGCTGCTTCCTTATGGAATATACCAACAAGCCCTACTAAAAACCCAGCAGAGTGTAAATTTGCATAAATTTGCATACATCTCCATAATTTCCCCCTCACTCATCAGACCTGCTCCCATAATGAAGCGCTGCCTGACACTGCAGGCACACAATTCAGACACACGCCGGGCCACAGACACCGCCACTAACGAGGCCCCTTGGTGCCACTGCCACGACTCACGTTACACAGGCCAGCATGACTGTGCCCAGCCGGTGTGCTGTGCCTGCATCCCTCTGAGGGAACCCCGGCACAGCACCCTGTGCCTCTTTCCCCTTGTGCCACCAGAAGATGAGCTCTCCTGCCAAAGGAAATAACACGATAAACCCCCAGGTAAGTCCAAGAGGGTCTTAACTGTCAGCCTGGGTGCAGAGCTCAGGCATCAGTGGAGAGGATGGGGAGGAAAATGTTTTCCTTCAGACTGTGCCTTGTGCCAGCACCCAGGGAACGGGAGAGAGAGCCCCAAGAGGGACCCTGAGTAGAGACCCCCCAGCACTGAGCATGCTGCTGGAAAGCAAAATGATCTCCTTTTAAACCTAAATAATGGGTCCAAACCCTGAAAGCTCCAGGCTACATTTTTAAATGTTTGAGCACTGGATTTCCATCATGCACCAAGGGATGCACCCTTCAGCCTGCTGTGTACCATGGGCAAGTCCAGCATGGGGCTGGCTAAGGCACGGGGTGCTGAGTTAGACTCCAACTTCCCTACATATCACCGAAGACCCAAATCTCAATGTTGAACTGTCTAAAAATGACCGATACCTACAAAACAGTGTTTAAAAACCAGAAGCAACACCAGGAGGCCGTGCGTGCATGGCTGAGCCCTAATGGCGAAGATTTCCTTCTTCGGAACACTTTTATTCAGGTGGGATCTGCTTGTGGTTTGTATCTCCCCAAGAGCAATGTGAGGGGCTGGGAGGGCTGGAGAGGCAGTGGTGTCTCCATGGAGGTGGTGGATGCCTCAGCATGAGGTCATACCATCAGGTCTCTGTCTCATTTTCATCGTACAGAGGGTTGAGGTAGAAAACCGGGTGGTCTCTGTGAGCCATCTCCTGCGGTGTCTCCTCTCCATGGTCAGCTCTTGGTGGCTCCTGCAGCACCAAGGGAGGGAAAAGCAACTAATGGGAAAGGGAAGAAACACCCTTGCCAGGGAAGGAACCCTTGCCAAGTGCTCTGCACCCTGTGTTGCACCAGCACTGGCATGCAAGCAGGTCCTGGCTGGGGCCCTTCCACCTCCTGCCCACAGCCGGGAGCATCCCTGTCCCCAGGCACTGGACTCACCACATCAAACATGGGGTTGTCGAAGCCTTTCTCACTGCCTGGTGCAGGGGGTGCCAGCTCCTCCACTCTGTCCCAGAGTTGTGAAAGGTGCAGGGCAGGCAACCTGGGGAGAGACCTGGGCATCATTCACCCACATCCCCTCTGTTCCAGCAGCTCCCCTGGCTGAAAACCTCATCTTCAAGAGGTAGGTGGGAAAATATGTGGCAAAGTTTCAGGATGCCTTTGAAATGGGATGTTTGTTTCACAGGGAAAAGTTGCCATATCCAGCAGAAACCATTAAGCCTGGAGGTCTGGGACCTGCATGCTGGAGAGAAGTTTGTCAGAGGCAGACAGTGCTAGTACAAGCTTCACTTCAGAGCCACCGCTCTCCTCCCCCATGGCCTAAAATGAATTGCCACAAAGCCAACACCTGTTCCCACTGCAATCTCAACAAGCACTAATTGCTTTTATCATTACTTTTATCATGTTATCATTTTATCATCTTAATCACCATCACTACTTTTATTATTTTCATCATTACTCTTATCCTAAGGGTTCCAATTGCTGAGAATCATGCCCTGAACCAGGCTCCTGGGGCTCAGCGTGAGTCCACACACGTCACCACCGGTCCTGAAAGCCCACGAGTATTGAAACACTGCGACCACAGTCTCTATATATGTAATTGGAGGAGCAGTGCTATCTGCAGGGAAGCTGTGCCAGGCCCTTTTGGGTGGAAACAAGCTAAATTTGCTGTTTTGCTGATGGTCAGCTGCTCTGCTGCATGGAAACAGACTGCTTGCAGGCTCCCAGAGCCTCTGGTGTTATTTGCAGCATCCCTGCTGATGTCTGATGCCTCCATGATGCTCAGCAGCACTGCCTGAAAGGGCCCTGCCCCAGAGCCAGCCAGGGACATGCAGCAGGAGCGGGTCGGCTGGGGACATGGCCTGGGCTCAGGTTCAGCTCTGTTGCTTGTAGCTCCATGAACTTCCCTCCTGTTGCTGACACAGCTGGTTTCAAAGACCTGTCCAGTGTCCAAAGAAGTGTCAGTGGAAGACAAATCATTAAGTAAAGATTATGGGGCTGGGAGTTTTATTTAGAAATTAAATGAAAGTGCAGGTTTATTGCTAGGAAAGACCGTGTCAGCACGTGCTGACCAGCAGGACAAGCATCCCTGGCCACTGCCACAGCTCTGCAGGAAGAAAACACCAGCAGCAGAACTGGGAGGGAAGAAACAACCTGACTTGTGTGCCTGTGACTCCCCAGCCTGAGTAGTGGGGAGCTCAGCATCCCCTGACAGATATCGGCACACCTTCCCACCTCCTGGTTATAAACCACACAGGGTCCACCCTGCATGCCTGCCACTCAGCCCACGGTCTCCTGCACAAGGATGTCCAACAATACACCCTGCAACACCCTTCACATGAAGGTGGGTGCATGGGCGAGGAGCAGAGGTGGGTGCCCCAAGCGCCTGCTATGGGCACTCTTGGGACACCCTATTCACTGCCAGAGCCCGTCTCTAAGCTGTGATGGGGAAACGTGATGGAGAAGGGGCATTTCTGACCAGCTGCCAGCTGTGGTGCAGTCAGATGCCAGAATGGATGAGCCAGGGATGCTTCATAAACTGCGTTTGCTTTTGGATGCTGTCACTCCTCATGGCTACAAAGCTGCGGGATGAGTGTTTTGAATAGTTTGATGAATATCTATTTAGCAGCTGTCAGTTTCGGCCCTCCACCCCTGGCAGGGCTGCAAACTAATGGTTATAAGGAACAGATATCACCAGGCAGCATGACCAGGCTGCGCACACCTCCAACTGAGCTGCAGCAGCCCCGCTCCTGCCACAGCACACAGCATCACGCCAAGAGGCAGCCAAGAAGCCAAGTCTCCCAGCCATGGAGGAGACTGAAGAGTAGTCCAAGAGTACACAAGTGCCTTTCAGCTCACCTCTAATAAACCATGAGGAACAATGAGAGCAATGGTTTTAAACTAAAATAGTTTAAATTAGATTAGATATGAGGAAGAAGTTCTTCACTGTGAGGGTGGTGGATACTGGCACAGGTTGTCCAGAGAAGCTGTGACTGCCCATCCCCAGCAGTGTTCAAGGCCAGGCTGGATGGGGCTTTGAGCAACCTGGTCTAGTGGAAGCTGTCTCTGCCCATGGCAGGGGGTTGGAAGTAGACGATGTCTAAGGTTCCTTCCAACCGAAACCATTCTGTGATTCTACTAACCAGTAATGTTGGGTATAGCAGGCTGCCTGGCCATGCTACTGTGGGAGCTCTGGGCAGCACTGTGTGCCTCTGTGCTACCAGGCTGGCTGGAAGGACAGCCAGGGGCGACGGCTGCCACCAAGCAGAAGCCTGGCATTATGCTGCGGCAGAAGACTCATCCCTACCTTAGCTTTCCCTTTCTGTGGAGAAAGAGCATTCCTCCAAGGAACAGGAGACCGAAGAGTAGCGCCAGGACTGTCCCCATTGTGATCCTGCTCAATGCATGGCTCCCCACTTGCTCACTGAAAGCGTTGCCAGTGGCCACCTCCATTTTGCCACTTGAAATGCCGAGTGCTTCACCTGGGAAAGGGCAGGAAGAAACAGGGGTGAGGACTGGACAGGGCAATGCATCCCAACACCAACACACACACAAGGCAGGGGGAGCTTGCAGTTGGGTCTGGCACTGCTTGTCTGGTTGACCACCTTTCCCTGGGAACAGGATACACAGCTGGGTGGACTCAACTGGGATAAGCCCCTGTAGTTCTGCTACCCACACAGCAACCACCAGCTCTCCTGGCTGCCAGCTACATGCTTACCGGTGTCTGCCAGCCTACGTGGCTGCCTCCACATGCAACGCAATGTTCTGGCTGGAAAGCAGCTCTGCAGAGAGGGGTCCTAGCAGGCACCCAAGCTGACATGGCATGGAAGGACAACAGTATCCTTAGCTGCATGAGCAGGAGGGTTGCCAGCAGTTCAAGGGAGGTGACCCTTCCCCTCTGCTCTGCCCTGGAGCACACAGCTGGAGTGCTGAGCCAGGCAGTGACAGGGCAAGAAGCAATGGGCAAAACCCGAAATATGGTAAATTCAACTTAAATATAAGAAAAAAACTGGTTTACTGCAAAGGGGGACAACTGCAAGGACAATGCGAGGACAGCGGTGTTACCATGCTGTGCTATGTCCTCCATGATGTCTGCTGCCAGCTGCTCCACAGTGCTGCTGGTCTGCACTCCTGTTCCCTCATGGATCAGCACAATTTGGATGACAGGAGTGGAACTTCGGGGTATGACTCCCAGGAAGGTCTGTTCTTTTTGCACCTTGGATATGGCCATCTGCATGCCGGTGTACTTGGGCTTTTCAAAACACAAGGGGACACATAAAGCCCATGAGAGTGGTAGGCAGAAATTAGTCACCTCTACAGACACCCATGATGGATGCACCATCAAGGCACATCTATAAATCTTCATATGAGCCCCATCACAGAGCTGCCATCCCTGTTACCACAGTGCTGTTGTGTTTCCCAAATAAGAGGTTCATACCTCCCCTCCCTTCCAAGCTGTAAGCAGCACCCAGCACACAATGTTCTTCTGTGGAGGCAAGTGCATTGAGAAAGCAATTTCATGGAGCACACCCACTGAACCTGTATTAAGATGTGTGGCTGTAAGGAGGACAGGCAGCAGGCTTTCAGGTCAGGATCAATAGAGCAATACTTTGGTATTGATCCTCCCAGTGTATCTCAGAACACGCCTCCTCCTCCCAGCAGCTCCCAGCCAGGAGGAAGGATGTCATGCTGTGTCTGACAAGCAGCAGCATGGAGTGATGCCTTACGCATCTGAGCACTGCTCAGTGCCAGCTACCCACCCAGTGCTAGCCTACTGGGGAATGAAAAAGCAGCCCAGCACTGGGAGCCATCTCCCACAGGCCATGGGGTGCTCTGCTTCAGGTTTGCATGACTCTCCTGTGCTGACCTGTTATGTTACCTAGACTTGACCTCCCTGCTGGCTTCCTGTATTTTCTAGACCAGAGTTTCCAGTAAGCTCCCCTGCAGCCTTCCCCATCCAAATGGCAGCAGCGGTTCCTGTGCCGTGTTGAGAGGTGCATCATTGATGCGGGGCACAGTGGGGCAAGGGAGGCTGCAGGAGCCCCCATAGCGAGCTAGTACATCCAAGAGGCCAAATATGGGGCTGAGCCCTGCAGTGTGGTGGAGAGTCAGGCTGAGCCCTGTGAGTTGATGTGGCTGCATATACCCCCAGACAGCCCCCCAACACCGAGTCACCACCAAATGTGGCTGGTGGCTTGTGATTCCATTAGCCCCTCCCAGTCCAGCAGGCTGATGTACCTGGCTCAGCAAGGCTTGGATCAGTCTGTTCTGGTACTTCTGTAGGTCAAAATTAGGTGTGAAATCCAGGTTAATGGTGGCTCCTGCAGCCCCAAAACAAACAGACATGACATCGTCATCAAGACTGCGATTCAGCACTGCTACCCTAGCTTTGGAGGGGACACTTGCGCTGTCCGTACAGCTGCACTGCACAAATTGAGCTAAGTATTCTCCTTGGAAAAAATGCAACCAAGCGTTTGTTTAAGTACAAAATGCTCCTAAAGGCTTTAATGGGCTCTGCTTTTAGGAGCATGTTGGACAGAGAAACATATGGTGCCATTTTAATGAATGTGGTATGATATACCAAATGTGATACACCAAATATCCAAGTACAACTGGGCATGAAAAATTCTCCTTAGCAACCTTCCAGGTAAATAAATGTAGGAGTGCCCATTGCAGAGGGAACGCTGTCAATTTGCATGTTTCTACTATAAATGAAATGAAACAAACTTGCTGTTGAAAAGCTGACATTACGGTGACAAAGGTGCATTTTCTCTGAGTGCTTTCCACTGCATAGGCTCAGCAGAGCCCTATTAGCTTGACAAGCTGTGACATCCTGACGGGATAAACCGGAGGCAGGGACAAATGGCTGCACTCCAAAAAGGCTCCCAAAAGCCAGGCTGCTTCTTCAGAGAGATGCCTACAGATCCGATGTGTATGAGAGTTGTAGGAGCAGTGATTGATACAGCAGAACTCCAGCAGCACCCCCTGCACCCAGCTTTCCCCATGGAGCTAGGGAAAAGGCAGGGGGCAGGAACAGGGCCATGCCCCCCACTCACCGCAGATCGGGCAGCAGTGGCCAAGGGGCTGCAAAGGGCTCCGGCAGGCTAGCGCTGGGCACTGCCCTCCTGATGCCCTGAGCAGGGCTGCGCAGATGCGGTGGCCATCCTGGAGAAGAGCAGGGCAGCGTCAGTCCCTCATGCTGCAAGCCACGCTGGCACCCCCAAACTGCGACGGGAGGGCTCACCAGTGTGTTCCCGCAGGCACAGCCGGACTTGTCCATGCAGCCGGAACCCGTCACCTGCAGAGTGCCATTGCCGTGGAACTGCAGCGCGGCGGAGGGGCTCCGCAGGTACCTGGCCCAGGCCTCAGGGCTGCTCAGCTCCTGCATGGGGAGGAGCAGCAAAGCAGGTGAGTGTCACCAGCTGTCCCCACTGTGCAACTGGGCACCCAGTGACACATGTGACAGCCAGCTCCATCACAGGCAGTGAGTGCAGCAGGAAAATCCTGACATACACCCATTCAGGCTCCTCAACGGGGTCAAAGGAAGAACCCTCTTTCTTTAATTTAAAACCAAAGAAAAAGGCCACAGATAAATCATGATACAGCTGGGCTTTCTTGATATTTTGCTTTCCCTCATTCTGATGGCCCAGAGAATTCAGATTAGCAGCTGCTAATTGCTGGATCTGAGGTGCCTTCCTTCAATCTAGAAAGCATTTCAGTGGGCTTGGCATTAGCAAAGCTGAGCTGGACTGACCAGCTTTGTCCTACCAAGCCACTGGTAATTCCCTCACCCGCTGTGTTCCATAGGAGGCTTCTCCAGGCCCTGGCACAATAATAGCATTTCTCAAGCCCTGAGGTGAAAATAGGCCACACAGAGCAAGGAGTGCAAGAGATGGCTACAAAGGGACAAAGTGGCTTATAAGGTCATGTTTTAGGAAATACACTATAATCACAACAATAAAAAGCACCTTCTCCTTCCATGTCATTGCTCAGCAGCAGCCTCCTTCTGGGGGCACAGCCAGCTACAGTCCTTGTGGGGTGGCCGTAGGGGGATGATGTGCCTTTGGGCAGTACTCAGGCATTAGTGTGACCAGCATCACTCCAAGTACCCAAAAGCATCCACCTCTGCATCCCTTGGGCTACGTGTGCTCAAGGGGATACCCTGTCCAGACCCGCCTGCACTCACTTGGACCCCTACTGAGTTTATTAGTCAAAAAGCAGTTACCTCATGCCTGGCCCCAGAACGGCAGATCCCGGGCAGCACAGCAGCAGAAATAATAAATAACTTACGAAGTGTCTGCTGCATCTCTCCCTCCTGGAAGGAGCCTGTGTTTACTGCTGCAGTGCCTGTGATCTTTCACTCCTCTGACCTGCGAGGCACCGGGCTCATCGTGTGCCTGATCCCAGGGCTGAAGCACAGCAGGCTGCCAGTGTTTCTATAATTGTCCCTCCAATCAGTTAAAGACCAGCACTAAAGCAAAGCTGGGAGATGACTGCAGGGCCATGGGCCATGTTAAGGGTCAGGGCAGGATGGAGGTGTCTCTAGAGGATCCCTGCACAGTGGGGCTGCAGACATGTGCCTGAGAACAGAGCCGTCCCTGGGTGCTAGAGAAGATGCCATTTGGTGGTTGTTTGACCCGTGCATGCTGGCCTTTTTTTAATGTGGATAGTGAGACAGCCTGTACTCCTACACTGCAGGGAGGGAGGCATAACAAAACAGTAGAGGAAACACATTGAGACCATCCACAGCAGCAGCAGCCACCCATGAAGCTGCAGCACCCTGGGAGTGCCCCGTCTCCCTGCACAGTGCTGTGACTCCATCCCCAGCTGGCCCTTCATCTTCTGTGGCAAAGGGGCATCAAGCTGGCTTCTCATCACCCCCACATTACCTGGCCCATGAGAGAGATGCTGCGGAGATGAATCACTTGCTGCGATGAGTCGACGTTTACCCTGAAGGAGGTTTCAGGCTGGAAGATAACATCATCGTAGCGGCATGGGACACGTTCCTCATCCACAGAAAAGATGTGCCTGCTTGACTCGAGCTCCCCACTGGGGGACACAGCCTGCCACAGTGTGGGGTCGAACCACGTGTGGTGCTCGGTATCAGAAAACCTCACTGTTGCACCTGGAAAAGCAACAGGAAAGGCCGAGCATGACCCAGACCCAAATTGCAGCCCAAATGGATGCACTTAGGCTGGTACAACCGGGCACTGTTTGGCCTGAAGCAGAGGAGCTCATGCTGCAGGCAGGGAGAGAAGGGCTGGCTCTGGCACTGCCCTCCCAGGCAGCTGCCATGAGCACTTCCCAGGGCTTGGCAAAACTTCCCAGCACTCAAGACTGGTGTCTCAGCAGCTCAGCTCAGACACCTTTGCTCCCCTTCGTTAAAGCTCACCATTATGGCTAGAGAGGAAAACGGCTGCCCAAATGTTGAATAACAGCTAAACTGGATAAAAATGGATATGATAATTCATGTCCCAGTTTCCAAGCAGCCTGTCAGGCCCACAGAAATGTGACTAACCCTCTTCCCTGCAGCAGGTAACCCCAAAACCAGTGCCCCATTTAACCATCAATTATTTAATCATTAACCATTTCCCTTCTGGTCACAGCATCATCATGCAGTTCCCTGCTTCCTCCTCACCCTCCCCGAACAGCTGAATCTTTACCAGTTCAGTTAGCATGCGGGTGTTTATTGACTGAATTACTTGTGTTCATTTTAAAAGCATGCTTCAAAAAAAATCCATTTGAGAAAGTTGCCCCAAAAATGCCTGCTGGTTTCAAGGGAGCAGCACATATGTGGTCAGCAGGAAAAGTGCAGATGCCAGGAGCATCCCTGATGAGGACAACAGACCCAAAGGATTTCAGAGTGGCTCCAGGCAGCCTGATGCTATAGTCCTTCCTCTGGGCAAACCTGTTTGGGCTTTTTCTCTCTTTTTCCTCTTTTTTTGCCAGTCAGGGCACAGCCACTCTGATTGGACTTTCCCTTTCCTGCAGCTGAACTAAAAAGATACTTGCCAATGAAAGCATTAGTTAGCTCATAAATACCTGAGGCACATCTCTCTAGCAAACAGTTTTCAGACTAATAATAGGCACCAATGAAACAAACCTGCTGCCTCAGTCACAGCAAACATGGGCTGGAGGCTAAGAGGGGAGGGAAGGATGCGCTCATGCCAAAATGCCTGTGGGCACTGGGCCAAAGGTCTGCTTGCTGTGATGCTGTGGTTCAGCTCACTTGAGTGCAACGCCTAACCAGTTTTCTTTGGAAGTACCATGGCAAAGAAAATGAGGGCTTTGATGTGGCTACATGCTTAATAGTCTGGGTAACATACAAACAACATTGCCTCTCTGCTACAACTTCAAAGGCTTGCCTAGTATAATTACTTTTTTAGAAGACAGGTGATCCAGCAGGAAAAGATCTGATGTGAGGGAGGTCATCAAAGAAAAGGTAGGTACTGGAAGAGGAACAATTCACTTTGCTCTGAGGTGGGACAGCAAAGACCTTTGTGAAAGGGTTTGGGCTGAATCTGTGTGATTAATCACAGGCTCAGGGGTGACTGGGCTGGGCACAAAATACCTGAGTCACAGCCTGGATCCCAGCTGCCATCAAAAGCTGCGAATCCTGCACCAGCTGCCAGCAGGAGCTCTCCATTCAGGGGCAGGTACTAGACAAAGAGATTCAGAGTATTACTGTGTGGTCCCGCTGCCAGCCACCCAGGCTTGTAATCAAATAACAGTGCTAATTGTTAGGCTGCCTATTACACTTGCTGTCTCTGAGGCACTTTACAGTCATTAGGAGTTACCCTCACCATGTCCCACGCTTATGGGAAAGTATCAGCTCCTGTTTTAACATGTGGGGATGCTGCAACAGGGAGAGGCAGTTTGACATAATCTTCCGGTAACACAGAAAAGCATAAAGCATTGAGGGAAGCAAGAACAGGGAAAAAACAAACTAAGCTCTTTTGACGGCTCCTTCCCCTTGCACACACTCCCAGCAGCTCAGGAATGACTTTATAACTTGGTATACCATGAAAAACCCAACCTTACCTTGCAAGTGCCCAGGGACCCTCTTGCTTAACGGGTTCCCACCTCTGAGGGCTGCACTTGTCCCAGAGAAAACAACTCAGGGGCCCAAGCAATGCTTGGTGAGGTGTCAGCTATGGGTTTGCACTTGGCGTGAGCTAATTAAAACACAGTGGCATTTGACACAGACTGCCATAGCAAGACTCTCTCCTTGTTGGGTAAGTCATTACCAGCAGGTAGTCAGGGTCACCACACTTGCCTGGCTTCAGCCTGCCCAACCTTCTGCTCAGGGGCACAAGGACGAACCTCAACAGGCACAGCTCTGCCATGGGACCTCTTTCAACAAGTTGCTATGGCCATCCCAGTCAGCAGCCAGCACTATCAACCCCAGGGCAGGCCTTGGTAATTAACTGTCAGGGGTCTCGTTCACAGCACAATGGGTTATTCAGCCCAGCCCATCTTATTTTACATTTACAAATGGCCAGAGAGAAAGTCAGGTTTTATCCCAATACTTTTGTTGTGTTTTAACCCCAATTGGCAGTAAGCACCACACAGCCGCTCACTCATTCTTCCCTCAGCCCCTAGTAGGATGGGGGAAGAACTGAAGAAAAGTAAACCCCATGGGTTGATAACTACAGTTCCATAATAACAATAGCAATAATAATAATACAGGAAAGAGAGAGAGGAATAAAACCCAAGAAAGACAAGTGATGTACAATACAATTCCTCCCCACCCGCTGACTGATGCCCAGCCTGACCCTGAGCAGGGATTGGTGGCTCCTAGCCAACGCCCCCAGTTTCTATACTGACCATGATGTTCTGTGGTATGGAATATCCCTTTGGCTGGTTTGGGTCAGCTGCCCTTGTTATGCTACCTCCCGGCTCCTTGTGCCCATCCTCACTGGCAGAGCATTGGAAACTGACAAGCCCTTGATTTGGACTAAGCGCTATTTAGCAACAACTAAAACATCAGTGTGTTATCAACATTACTCTCATACTAAATCTAAAACACAGCACTGTACCAGCAACTAAGAAAAAATTAACTCCATCCCAGGCAAAATCAGAATAATTTTCCCATGTCAAAGAGTGAGTGATGTTCATGGCTCCCTTCTCCTCTAACTCAGTCTATCCAGGGTTTTCACATCACTCCCCAGGCAGCAGCTGGAAGCCCTCCAGGGCTGCATTTTGCTGATGCATTGGGTCCTGTGCGCAGGCAGAAGCACGTTAGATGGGATTTTAAGGTTTCATCTACTTAATTGGTCTTTAAATATGCATGTGGGTTAGAGAAAGCAGGACTTAAGAATGACTGCTGCCAGTGGCTGCAATAGCTCTCTGTCCTTGGGGCACTTTGTCCCACACAGGGACTGCCTTGGCAGGAGATGGACATGGCAAAAGGCTACTGACCCCCAAGCTGTAGGCAGCTCTTGAGAAGTTTAGTGCCTTGGTGGTGTGGTGCTTTGAAGGCCATAGCCCAGCTCCACTCTTGGTTCAGGAACTGGGAGACAGGGTAGAGAGCTGAAGGCAGCTGCCACCAAGAAGAGGCCTGCAGTGCTCCTGTGCTCCATCTGCTTCAGACCCAGCAATGTTGTATGCTGGGCTGAGGTCTGAACGATGTCTGCCACAAGGGTATGGAGTCTCCCCACCAGCCTATGAGACCACAGCGTGTGTCACGCCTAACTGGAGACCCTGCCATCATGTTCTTTGCAATTCTGTCACTCAAGTAAAGCCAATTTCTCCAATACTGAAGCACTGACAAAGGCTGAAAGATCTGCCAGGATACAAATGGCAACGTGACCTTTAGCTGCACATACAAAAGCCGTTTCTAGTGACGTTTTGATGCTCAGGACTTGTCTTGTTTGAGCTGGGCAAGGTCTACGCTACCTGCTTCTTTCACAGAGCGCTTCACAAGTGCCCTGGCTTGTTTTCCTGTGAACCCACACAGGAATGGGTGGTGGGACACTTTGGAGCAGTCAGCTAACGCCTCTACCCAGGGCAGGTACCAACAGCACTGCCAGCCACATGCCTTCTCCCGAACCTGCTGGGCCATTTCACTCACTGCTGGCTCCTGCTCAGTGTGCAGGTTGCCACCCTGCAGCCTGCTGTGCACGATGGGGCCAAGCAGGGAAGGTAGCCAGCTGCCTGCTGGGGTCCAGCTGAGAAGATGAGGGTGGGGTTTTGGATGGGATGCAGTAGATCGTGTCACTAGTGCTGGGTACCAGCTTTTCACAGCAGTCACCTGTGAGCACTCAGGCCTGTAGCTGTAAGGATCTCTGGGTGGAGGAAATAAAACATCAGACAGCAACTGCTGGTGATGGAGATGGGTGACAGAGCAGGGACATGACTGGCTGGCCTCTGCTTGCTTTCCCAAGCTGCAGAAGTTGGCATTTGTGAGTATTGTGGCTGGATCAAGACCACTAGATGGAGAAGCCCCTGCTTTCATACTTGCCTTAAAGAGACTGACAGCTCTTTCCCTGCAGTTACCAAACACTTTGATTACAGCTGTGGGTCAGAGTGTCCTGAACGCCCTACGGTGGCCATGCAGGACACAATGAACTTTCCTGTCCATGGGGTTGTTCATTTAGATCTTCACGAATTAACTAGAATGAAAGAAAAAAGCTACAGAGACAACACTTAGACAAGTATGTGCCTAGATTTGTAAGCTGCATCACTCACATAGCTCCAGGGAGCAATGCACAAGCATCATGTGCATGCATTACGCACATAGCGAAGCACGGAAAACCTGGTAAGGATTCGCACAGAATGGTTGAGTTCAGAATGGCAAGATCAAGAGCTGAGGCAGGCTTGCTTGGTTACAGATACCCAAGTGCACACACAGATGCACAGATGCTGGTCCAACAATCAACTGAGGTTGCATCCTCCTGTGCCTGGGAGGGCCCAGCTGAACAGGCTCTGGGATGGGTGCAGAGCAGGCACAGGGTCAGCAGTGCGTGGCCCCAATCCTGCCCATGGGCAGAGGTGTGTGAAAACACTCGTGCTGAATCCACCCCATGCCTGCAGCTCCTGTGCAGGGCTCCGAGACACTGGCCTCTGGGCTCCCTGGAGAAGATGAAGCTTCTCCAGCTATCACTGGAGATCTCCCTCCACCACCAAGGCCAAAATCTCAGGCTGGCTGAACTTCCCAAGCCCAGAGGAAGCTGACCACATGAGTGTGAGCGTGAGGGAAATAAGGGTCCCATAGCACATGTGTTGTCCCAGCTGCTGACCTCTCCACACTCTGGGACTGCCCAAACGCTGTTACCACCAGCCCCGGAATTAAAATGCAACACAATGCAATGCAAGCTGGGGGATGGAGTCACCTCATCTCCACAGACACAAAGTGCAAGAAGAGTCCTGTACTACTCCATAGCAGTAATTTCTGAAGCTGGCCCCTGCAGCTACGGCTCCCGGCCCACCAAGGCAGAAGTATTGCGCATCCATGACCAGCACCACCACTGGGAAGCATTTCAGAAGTGGCTCTGTCATCCTGTGGATCTTAGTTTGGAGCTTGCCCTTTCTTTTTGCCTACCGTAAGTTAAGCATCTCAGCTTTGCTGCAGAGGACAAATGGAGACTCTGGTTGGGCAGTGGCTTTCTGCATTTGGGAGTTTAGTATAGAAATTGCATAAAAGCTGGGCCACTTTCCAAGTACATTTTGAACTGAGCAATGACATGTACCAAAGGACCCGAGCCAAAACACTGGCAGTTTCATCTGCGTTCTCTTGCTCCTGCCAACCTCAAGGGCCATTAATACAGTGAGCTTAGAATCCCATTAGTCATTTCCCATCCCTGATACTGGTAACTGACTTATCTCCTCAGTCATCATTATCAAGTGTAATGACAACTGAAACAGTCTAATTCTTCTCATCAAAGTCAACAAAAGAGGAAAGACCCCATGTGGCTTTGAACATAGAATCACCACATTTACAACCGCAGTGTTGGACCACTGAGAAAATATCCCACAGCCCCAATGAGTAAGTGAAAACGAAACTAACCTCTGAAATGCAGAAGGAAAAATAAACCTGAGAGGCGGCTTTTGAAGTGGGTGGCTTTGAACCAGCCTCCAGCACATCCCAGCTCTTCTCAATTCATAAGCACCAGGCTGAGATGATTGACAGCAGCAGCGTGACCGGCATGTCATTGTCAACAGAGCAGGAAAAAATGCAGCACTTCTGCCTTCAACTCAGGTGAGCGATGCTGGTGATTGCAGCCAGCTCTTCCCCAAGCCTTGTTTTAATTCACAGCACAAATGCATCTGAATTTCTTGCTTGGCTGAGACAGTGCCACCATCCCTATCACACAAAGCCAAGCCTGACCATGTGTGCTAGGCTCTGCAGCGCTGCACCCATGGGTGCACCAGCAAGCCAGTCAGTAGCACTGGAGCTGCACAGGGCTCCTGGGTACATCCCATCACCTGGCACCCAGCCGGGGAGCAGCTTCACAGCTGGGGCCAGTGACTCGCCATCAAAAACATCACTGGGGTAGGATGCAGGGGGGTATATCTCCAACACGGAGCACTGTAACCCACCACAGTCATTATGTGTAGGGAAAAGGGTTTCTGTATCACCTCTCCCAGCCCTGCTTTGCTGGGGCAGCGCAGCCCGCAGGCGGCACCCGGGGCAGCAGGCAGGAAGGCAGCAGTGCCTGTTGCTGCCCACGAGGGGGAATAGTGGGGGTTTTCCCAATGCCCATTTGGGCCAGGGGGAAGCTGAGCACAGCTGGGCTTGTGGGCCCTTGAGTGGGATCCAGTTGCTGGCTGGAGGCTCCAGGCCAGATGCATCCACAGGTGAATCCTGCTGATGGCTCTGGAGTGTTGACAGGGGTTCGCTCGCTGCAGGGTTTCTTGGGTTCATTAGTGGGGATTCACTTGCTAGCTTCCCTGCCCAGGTGAAGCTCCCACCTGCACCCTCAGGCCAGCACCCTTCCCCTCAGCCACATGCACCACCCCACACTCCCAAACTGGTGCCAGATCCTGTCTGTCCCTGCCATGGTCCCCGATCCTGCAGCAGCTATCCCAGATCCTCCACCAGAGGGGCCAGCAGGGTAAAATGACCTGCAGCCACCCCAAGACCTCTGGGAGAGCTGAGGAGAGCAACCTGTTGCTCAACAAGGACCTTGCTGCTACAAGAACCCCTTGCCCAGGCGTATGCTCCCATGAAGAGTGGGGCTTTAGCATCCAAGGACACCAGGCAAGAAACACAGTTTTTATCCCCACGAAATCATGCTCAGGCAGGGTAGCACAGTGTGGAGCAGGGCACAGAAGCTACTGCTCCTCTCTGCAGGACTCACTGTTGGTGGGCAGAAGATGCACAACAGCCCTGCTGTGCTCGCAGCAGTAATTCACCCCTCTGCTTTCACCAGCCAGAGGAGGCAGGAGCCCAGTCAGAGGAGCACTGCGCAGTCAGGCCACCATCATTTCAACATCATCCCCTCTGCACTAACAAGGTGCTTGGCCGCTGTGCCCTGCATCCCCTCCTGCAAGGCAGGGTCCTCCAGCAGCAGTGCAGCCACGCTCTCATTAACACAGGAACTGGTTCCCCTGACACGTCTGCTCATCACATTTTACGTTGTATTTTGGGGCATAGGCTCCCCACATTACCTGCCCATGCTGGCCTTGCCACCATGTCCTCTGGCACAGAGGTGGCCTGACACATCAGGTTCCCTGTCCATCCCTACAAACCCCCTCCTGGTCATCCTCCATCAGTACTGGCTGGCACACCCCCTGCCAAACCACCCTGCAGACAGCAATAGAAACTATGGAGGGGATAAAAAAGGGAAGGGTCTCAAAAGGCCATTAATTTGATTGCAGACTCCAGTGCCCACTTCCAGATGCGAAGCCAAACAGGTCCCAGCAGAGTGCAGAAATCAGGTGTCCCTGGGAAATGTGGGACATTGGGACCCCCTCAGAAAGCGCTTCAAGGTAAACCAGCCCAAGACACTTGAGTTACAGATGCAGAAGGCACACACAGGCTTAAAGCCATTTGTCAAATCTACAGCAGGTTAGTTCAGCTCAGTTTCCCGAACTTCCCCCAGCAGACAAGGTCAGAAAGAGCTGTAAAGTGGTTTGAAATGTGGGCAGGGGAGCAGCCCAGCAAGACCTGCCCCAGCATCCACCCCAGTCCAGGATGCTGGCAAGCTGCTCCACTCATCACAGGCTTTAACAACTCCTCCTGCTGGAAACTAGCCTGCAAGGAGCACATAAAAGGAGGGAGGTGGCTGTAAAGGGCTGTTTTACCATGCTCATTTCCTAGGGCAAACCTTCAGCAGGTACACTGCCAGAGGAAAGCCTGCAGGATTCAGGCTTGTAATTATGTGCTGGTACACACATGCACTCCAGTGAAATATTTTACCTTCTTCTCAGAAGAAGGAAATAATTCTTTTTCTGGGTGTCTCATTACCCTGCAGCTTGGGAAGCAAGGGGAGGAAACGTCGGTGCCTGGGACCAGCACACACTATGGCAATTCATTAGAGTCTGCGCCCCTGGAGAGCAACTGGCATTTCAAGATCAATCTCTGCCAGGAACCAAGCAGGAGCATCCTGCAGCAAATCTGAGTACATTCTGCTCTTGCAATTAAGCAGCTAAAAATATAATGCTGGGCAATGTGTCCCTGGTTAGACCCCACGGTCTGCACACTCCTGACTCAGCCTTTGCAGCCCCTCACCACGCAAAGAGAGCTATGGGCAGCTGCCGGCACCATGGCAAGGCTCGGTGATGAGGCAGAGCTGGAAAGGTGACATGGGTGCTGGTGAACAACCGTGGCCAGTGCCCTGACCCTGGCACCGCAGGGTTCAAGTGAGGCTGCTCTGCCATGTGGTTAAACCTGACTCCCGTCACCCCAAAAATAGCAGGTGGCATCATCCATCCCTGGCCCGTGCTGCAGTGCTGGCTGGCTCGGAAACAAACTGCACCAGGGCTGGGGTTATCAGGGCAAACACCAGGCTGGGACCACAGCTGTGCCCTGGCCTGGCTCCCTTTGCAAGTGCAGCCATAGCCAGACTCAGAGGACCTCTTCTCCCTCAGGAGGGAGACAAGAGAAGCCAAAGCCCACCTTGCTCTGAAGAACCCACACCAGGCACTGCCACCCTGAGCACCTCCATCTTTTTTGTGGATTTACCTCTGAAAGCTAGTTAAATAGTGATCTGCATCTTTAGGCAGCTAAATACCATAGAAAATCCAACCTAATCACAACAGTTGTGCTTCAAAGTCACTTAAGCTGGATTTGGATTTAGAGTGTGGCTGAATTAGGGATCCATTTGAAACTTCAGACCAAATAACCACTGAACTGGGCAATAAATGGGTTTTCTCCAGGCAGGGAGGTGGGCTGTGTGCCCCAACAACCCCAGCCTCCTCCCAGCAAAGCAGCCCCCAGCATCTGGCTGGTGCTCAGATGGGACGAACGGGGAAAGGGAGCTGAAAGGCTCACCATACAGAAGCATTTCCTTTAGTATCAATGTCTGGGGGGCTGATGGTGGCACATGAGGACCCCTTGGCACCCCAGGCCTCACTACACTCAGCTGGGGAGTTAGGATGGGAGGTCTCACACTGCCCCTATGACAGCAGGGCACTGTCTCCAAGCACTTGCCCCTCTGCACCCACTGCAGTGGCACCATCCTCATGCAAGTCAATGAGGACCCAGACCCTTCCCCGGTCATGAATTTCTTCCTGCGCTACTACAGCAAGCAACGCTGTCTCTTTTTTTCAGTCAAAGGCTGTATAGGATCTCCATGGTGACTCCAAAGCTTAATGTATTCCTGCTGATTTAAGTGATTAATGCTCCAGCGCGGCACGGCTGGCAGCCAAACAGGTGCAGCCCAGCCTCTCTGCAAAAAGCCTCACAACCAATTCATTGTCTAAGCAGCCGGTTGCTGAATTTCCTGCCATCCCAAGCAGCAGGCCAGCTCAGGTGCTGGGTTTCATTCCTTTTTCATCCCTAACCTTGGCAGTCCCTGCATCACCAGGTGACAACAGAGCACTGCAGTGCACAGGAGGGAGGCAGCTGAGCTGAAATTAAGAAGAAATATTAGCCACCATGCTAGGAAACTTGCTGGGTCAGTCCATCACAAACTGCTGGGGTGGTGATGCTCCGAAGGAAGGTGTGAGCTGAGGCATGGGTTATAGCCTGGGACAGGCTTGCTTGCTCACAGTTCAGTGGGAGTCCCTGGCTGGAGGGGATCTGTGCTGTGTTCTCACAGCCAGTGCTGCTGCTGTGATTTATTCCTACCCTAGGGGAGCAGAGGGTCCTCAGGAACTCCTATGAGGACTGCTGGACCTTCTGACTGGGATGAGTTGGGGCCACTCCAGTACCCTGACCATCACTCAAACCCATGATGAGCGGAGCAGCTGGTGGATGGGTGGCACAGCTACGCATGTTACTAGCTGTGCAAAGGTTGTGTGGCACTTCCCTCTCCCTTGGCAGTAGCAAGGCTGCTCGGCTTGGGTTTTTAGTTTGGATGTGAAAGGCTCATGCCATAATGAGTGACGCTGCTCTGCAATTACGCACTTTTCAGGCCTCTGATGAAAGTACTTTAGAAATATTATACATTCATCTGTAAGTAGAATAAAATCTACTGAAGTGATATTTTGCTCTTTTCTTCTCTGGGTAAATTCCACATCATTTATTACATTATATTTGTACATATTTCCCCAGTACATTCTTTCCTTCAAAAATTCATATTTAAAATGCCATATAAATAAAGTAACTCCTGCAAATATTTGTAGAGGGATTAAATGTAGCACATGGCATTATTAAAGCATCAAAACTATTAGTGGTATAGACAGCCTGAACAAATTACACTGCATGAATTTCAAGGGATTGTTCAGATTTAATGGCCTGTAAAAGAGCAAAGCCACCCTAAAACTGAGAGAGAAAACTTGGCCACAAGTTCATCCTGTCCAGGGAAGGAGGTTTTGCAAATGAGATCCAAGCCATTCTGTGCCTTCCCAGTGCTGGGATGGGGCTCACTGGTGACCTGTCCCGTGCTGCCGTGCTGGGGCAGCGGGTTTGCTTTTCTCTTTAATTCCTCCCTGATAAATTTGACTCTCTAAACCATGAGGAACAACACCCTCAAGATTTCATTGCTCCAGGCAGGGCTCCTCTTCTGCGGGGACACTCAGTTGCTCAGAAACCCCTCAGAGACAAGACCCCCCATTCTCATCTCACTCAACACCTGCATTTCAGTAGGGTGCCAGGCCTGCCCTGCCTCAGCCAGGCAAATAATGCTGCAGAAGAATATAAACCCCAATGGCTCTTGAAAGAAAATTTCTCAAGCAACATTGTGGGATTCCCCAGAACAGCTTGTTTCCAGTTCAAGATATTTTCACATCAGCTTCACTAAGCCTCTGCCTGGGGGTACTACCTGCTCCATTGTGGCAGTGCCATGGCTTGGTGCTCCTTAGCAAACTACTGCCAAGGTCTCAGTCCCACAAAGGGTGTTTTGCATGCCACCCAGCTAGCAGCACTCCAGCACCAGCCCTGCCCTCACCCGCTGTCCCAGCAACACCACACGTGACCTTACCATGTCTGTCAGTGTGTGGGGAGACCTCACAAACACCGAGACGACCTGTACGAAAAGCAAAAATTAAAGAGGGCTTTTCTAATGCTTGCTAGTGTTTTGCAAAAAATAAATTAACCTCGAAACAATATTAAAAAAGAAATATTAAATAATAATGCTATTTCTTATCCTATTAAAATATTAAACTAAATTAAAATAAAAAAAAAATTAATAAGTAAGTTAAAATAACCCATTACCTTGTTCTTCTCAAAATGAACTACATTGCTGGCACAGGGGACTCTGCCTTTATCCCAGTTGGAGGCGGTTTCAAAATTGGTGTTGGGGATCCACTGCTTGTACACGGCGGTGGCAGCAGCTGGGAGAAGCAGGGAAACCAGTGTAACCCAGTCCACAGAAGGCACTAGGAGCTCCCTGCAGGACGCACTATGGGACAGCTTGACCTTTTGGGTCCAGATTTGGGGATTTCCCACCCAGGAGCAGCCTCTGTGTGTTCCCAGCTGAGAAGTCTCAGCCCTCCTCTGCACAGGGGATTTCTCTGGCTGAGTGATAGGTTTTTCCCACCCAGGTGAGAACAGGAATAAGGGACAAACATTTGGCAAGCAGAGAGAAGGCAGGAAGGGTTTGGGCAGTGGGCAAGAATAACATACACCTGGTGCCTAAGCATTCGCTGTGGTGGGCTTTGCTGCCACACAGGGTAACCAAATGTGCAGAAACACCTTGGCCTTGGTGTTTCAAGAAGGGACAGAGTGGGCATGAAGAGCCAGCAAGGACCAAGAGAGGAGACCATTTGCTATGGGATGTGTAGCACAAAACATGGGCTGGATTTATGTGTTCGGGGCTGGATCAGGAGGATTCAATGGTGACCTGCAGGCTGAAGCAGTGGCAGGTTGGGAAATAGAGGTCTTCCTCATGGGGCTTGCCAGGACAGCAGTGACCCTGCCCATGGGTCACTGCAGGTTTGAGCCCACTGGCCGAGGACAGGACATGGTTTTCACCCTGACCTGCTCTGTTTGCATGAGCACAGCGGAGCCACATGCCCCCTGGCCTGACACTGCCCAGGCTGAAGATGCACTTCCCCCTGAAGATGAATCTCTAGCAGCCTGAATTAAATGGCTTTGGGCAAGTGATGTATGAGACATGAAAGAGGAAACAAAACGAAACCCAAAACCGAAACTAAAAAACCTTCACTTTTAACATGGATCGTCTTTTCTTTAGGAGAACACCCACACCCACCCCCACCCCCCCCCAAACTGCAGATACATAAAAGCCAGTGGTGGAGAGGACTGGGCAGTGGAGTCAGACTTGGTGCTGGAGGTTAGTGGAGAGCAGGGCAGGAGGGGGAACTGACTGACTCTGGCTGATGGAGGGGGTTGCACTGCAGAAGCCTGGGCCCTGCTTGCTGAAATGATAGGGACGGATGTGACTGGTTGCATTACCTAGGCTCTGCAGAGGCTACTTAGTGCAACCCACATACACAATGATCACCCTGGGGACTAATCTGCCCTGTCTGACTCTGCCAGGGGTTCCACCAGGACTATATGCTGTAGGTAGCCATATCCCAGTGAAAAGGAAATGATGTATTTTTAACCAGAATGAAAGTCCTAATACAGGAATAGGGGCTGAAGCCTGGCTGCAACGTGCAGAGGGGTTCCCCAGCTGCCTGAATGAGCCCTCGGGCAGAGCAAACACCCCCCTACACTGTATCCACTTTAAAACCCATGGAGAGAGAAAAATACTGTGAAGTGATAAGAGCAGGACCAAAGCAGCTGCCTGCAGTGTTGTGGGCACAAACACTTCGCTGGCTTAGAGTTGAAAAGAGCTTAAGAAAGGATGAAGAGCCCAGATAGTAATTGCAAGTTGTTCTCCCTGCTGGCTGACCTGCATCCCTCCCATCCTGGGAAGCCAGAGAACAGAGAGGGTAAAGCTCCAGCCGGGCCCCACTGCACACATGCCTCATGTTCCCACAGCCTCAAGGTGTTGTGTCAACTGAGCTCATGCCACCCCACCAGACAGCATTGCCATCTCCTCCAGCCAAGGGCTCAGGAGCCATGGAGGTTAATCTCTCATTGCAAATCCTTTTCCCCCATGTAGCTGCACTGATGCATTACTCCACATTTCCAGTCCTCCACAGACCTGAAATATCATCGTGTTATTTAATCAGCCTTGCCTCCAGAGCAGCACAGTCCTTGAACATCAAAGCAACATGCATATTCAACAGAGAGCGTGTCCTGCAGAACAGAGCTGCTTGCTTTAAATCAGAGCAAGAAAACCCGAGCTGTGGAGGTGCAGCAGGCATAAATCAGTAACCCCAGCCTCATTCCCTTTCTGTTGGTTGGAAGTACCTCTTCCTGTTCTCATTACAGATATGCCTGAAGCAGCAGCACCTCCAGCTGTGCTCCAAACCAGGCATGCCAAAAGCACACCCAACATGGAGAAGTCACTCAGTGGTCACCCCTGCTCACCATGGCGGTCAGGCCCTGGCATACTCACCAAGAAGCTGCAGGACGCCCAGGAGGAAGCACAGCCGCCTCATGCTGCAGCAGGCCGCCAGCCCTCACCTCCACTGCCCCTGCCCTGCAGGACCTTGGACCCTGCCCACCCTGGGCACGTGATAGGCTCGGCCTGGAGGAGGCTGCAGGGAGAAGGGAGCAGACGAGTAGAGGCAGGATTGCCCCGGCACCGGCCAGAGCCTTGCTCAGCTCCAGAGGCTGGCTTGATTTCAGCTCCCTTCCCGAGCTCCTCGCTTCCTCCGCATCCATGGGAATTGCTGCTGGAGAAGGAAGCGAGGAGGTGAGAGCCACGGTCCCCCTGGTGCTCAAGGGACCTTGCCATCCGCCCTCCTCCACCCGTCTGTGTCCTGCTGACGGATAGTGAGAGCGAACACAGGGAGCGCACAGCTGTGCCGCCCTCCCCGTAGAGCATCGGCTACGTCGTAACGACTACTAATGGTCCCAGTGCACGTTCAGTCAGCTCGCTGGGAAGGGAGCAGCTCCCGCTGCTGACTCCTGACTGTACTTTGGCCCCAGCTGATGTGTTCCTTACCCAGCGCACGCCGCGGCAGCCCCATGCTGCTGTTGTTGGGGCTGCCGGGGGCCAAAGGGAGCAGCCAGCTGCAGCACCCGCTCACGTCTGCGGGAGGAGGAGGAGGAGGAGGAAGGACTCCACCATCCCTGGCCTCTAGCACAGCATAGAGGAGTGCTGCGTGCAGGTCCAGGCCCATGTCTTTAGGAGGGTGTGTTAGGAACAGAGGAGAACATGTACATCCTGGGAACGGGATAGCATGAAGGTGGTGGCAGAGGCCCATGCCACTGGGAGAGCTAGGGGGCTCAGCATCCCTCTAACTAACAAGGACCCTTCATTACACGTTGGTACAAGCAGGGTGAGAGCAGATTTGTGAATGCAGGAATTTACAGGAGACTGAAGAAGTGCTTGGAAGGAGCATCAGTGGGGAGGGGTCACAAGCCACAAGAAGTTCTGACCTGACACCAGCAAGGATCCAGGAGCACCGGAGGAGGAACTGGCCAACCCCACCTGTCATGCTCCCACCGCTTCCCAGCTTCCAACTGGGCAGACTGGGGGAGAGTCTCTCCTTTTCATATCCTTAACCCACTTGCTGCCATTTCCCACCTCTGTTGCAAGCGCAGGAGTGAGAAGAGCAGCTCGGGGTGACACCCTGTGCCCTGTGAAGGAACATGGAGGTGTTCCTGCCTGGAGCTCTGTTCCCAGAGGTTTCACGAGTGTGACCCATGAATTGCCAAGGGGAAAAGCTCCTGAGCAGCAGCTCTCAGCCTGGGCATCAGCCAAAACACAATCAGTGGTTTCTGCACAGGGAGCTGGACGTCAAGAAATGTCCTTGAGGTGAAGGGCTCCCACACTGCCATCACCACTCACAGATCTCTCGCAGGGTGAATGCTGGCTGCAATGAGATGCCCTGAATTTTAACAGAGCAGGGAAAAATCTAAACGGTGGATACTCAGCACTAACAGTTCAGAGAAAGGGCTGCCGTGTGCAGAGGGCAGGGGGCACGCTATTCCACAGCCTCAGCACCCCACAGCACAGCCGGGGCACGCAGGAGGGGAGAAACCATTCATGGGACTCTGTGCAGAGATCACTGCTGCGGCCCCTCAAAACTGATGTTTCAGGGGGGCTCCACACTTTTGTTTTTACTCTCTGTACCACACTGCTGCTGCTTCTCAGTGCTGCTTGTCTCAGCTGCTCAGCAGCTCCAGTCCCAACAAAGCTGATACTTGTTTAAGCAGGCCAGGTTTCACTTGACAAGCAGGCAGAGGTCTGAAATACCCAATCTGCCCTGTGTTCATCAAAGGGCCTGTGAAATCCTGTCAGTGGATGGACAGTCCCTTTTCCCCCTACTCTAGCAGTAGGGTAGGACAGAGCAGGGCAACTATAGCAAACCCAGCAAAACCTGTGTTACTGGAGACAACTCTTCACTGCACTGCTACTGCTGGGAGCAAGGAGACAGAATAAACCAGCCTTTGCTGTGGGTCTCTCCCTGGGGCCAGAGTATGCTCCTCTCTCACCCAGCTTTTGTCACTGATGCTGCTGTGCCCAGGACCAGGCAGGCACAATGGAACGTGCATGGGAGTGGAATTTGGATCCAGCAGTTATAAGGAGAGGAACAAAAATGAAAGGAAGCAGAAATCAGTCCATAGAAACAAAGCAGCTGCCCTAACATGGAGATCAGCACATTCTATTCCTTGCTGCCAGCTCACCCTGCTCCCCAGCCTGCTCTCCTGGGGCTGGCTGCCCACCCATAATGCCCTTGGGGAGAGCAAGCACATCACCACTGCAGAGGGGGAAACCAGCACACAACAGATGCTTGACAGCTCCATCTGTGGGGATGTGAGCAACCGAGCCCGCTTCTCAGATTCTGAGCCCATAGCTTGCTGGACGCGTTCACCAGCCCAGCTCATTCAGGACCTGTGCTTGGGTAGGATCTCTTTTTATTCTTGGAGGACTGAGGGTCACCTACCAGCCACCACTATCTACCCCCAGGACCCCTGATAAAGGGGCAATGGCTGGGGAAAGGGTTCACACCTGGTCTGTCCTTCCTGCTGACTGATGGCACAGGGTATGCTGAGGTTGATGCCATTTCTACCAGCCAGGACTGATCCAAATATTCTCCTCTGTGGGAGCTTCTGTACTGGCACAAAGCAGCCACTGAGTGTCCATAGCAATGTCTGCAAACAACTCCTGCCTCTAATCAGCACAGTGATGCTGTCAAAACACACTTCCACCAGCTGCAATGGGTACTGTGGGCTGCAGCCAAACATTTCTTAAACCAATTTGCAGCCCACGGGGTGGAAGTAAGTCCCCAGCGTCTGTTCTGTGTTTGCCAGCCTTGCCAAGCCTGGAAATCAGCTCCAGGCTTTGGCCATTCCCTGTTATTGGGAGGCAGAGGGACAGGCGAAAGCACACATGAGGGACCAGCATTCACCGCTGCCAGGGCCCACCCTCCCCAGGTGACATGTTTGCCAAAGGGTGCACGGGAAGGTACTCAGACTACAACCTCTTTTGGCCAAACAAGGACAAGCTGAACAGCATACTCTGTGATGACAGCCTCCATGGCTCCACCCAGGCTTGTGGGAAGGAAACACACAGCTGACTCATGGAAAACTGGCTTTGGGGAAGGATGGGGGAAATCACATCTTTCATCACTTTTATGACCGCTGGATATTTCCCCCTTACTCAGACAATTCCAGGACTTGGTCACATCAAAGCAGGCTATCCCAGAGAACAGGAGATCGGTCCATCTGCAGGGCCAAGAAGTCAAAGGTTTTGAAAATGCTTCTCCTTACTGGACATCAAGCAAACCCAAGGCTTGAAACTCCCTGAGGAACAGAGATAAGCCAAGCAGCAGTTCTGGGTTTGTGCAATGTATGATGTCTGCACAGCACCCTCTGTAGACCAGGAATGCTCCTCACCCCATTCTCCCCAGCTGCTACGTTCCCATCCCCCTAAGTACTGTATTGCCCACCAGAAGAAAGTATGCTACAAAGCTGCTATTCGCCTCCTGTGACCTGTCATGAAGAAACCTTGTATAAAGACTCATTCTTGCCAGGAGCGACATGATGTATCATTTCAATTACGATTCATTGCTAGGGGGAAGGAGGAACAGGGAGGAAAGAACTGGTGTTTGTCTTCATGCTTAAAACAATTTGTTTCCTCTCCCCCTACCCTGCTGCACTGTAATGACACAAGTGTCATGCCTGAGCAGCACCAAGCAAAAAAATCTGGCAGGAGGAGCAGTGCAGGGGATAGCAAAGGTTATCCTCCTCTTCCTTAGGAGGGCTCTACTGGAGGATAACCCACTTCATTAAGGAAACAAGGAAGGTCACCATCTCTTTCACGCTCCACAGTGAGGAGACATGAAGAGCTTTAAGCGCACTCTTGAGTGCCGGATGTGGGAGTGGAAAGTGCGATGAGCAGGGCAGGGGGTGCCAGAGCATCCAGAGAGTCACTTACCAGTGACTGCTCTCAGCAGCAGAAAGGAACATCCACCTCAGATCATCCCGCACGTGGCGACGACGGCTTTTCATAGCCACCCTTCCCTCTCACCACGGCAGCCTTCCTGCATTTGCTGTTTCTGTGGCCTCTCCATTTTATCAAAAGGCAGTTGGCCACCCAGCACTTCTCCACTACCTGCTGCAAATGCCAGTATCAGCTGGCTGGGTCACACACAGATTGGGGTGCCAGCGGTGGGGCTGTGGCTTTGCCAAGACTCTGTGGTTTTGCCTCTGAGCACAGGCAGGACGTTCCCACATTGCTAAGCCCAGAATTACTCCTGCAGTGATGTGAAAGAGGGGAAATAGGAATTTCAGTAAGAAAGGGGTGGGACAGGCTTCATACACCAGCCATGGGGATCAGGGTTTTCATCACAAGGCTTAATCTGAGTCGTGGTAGAAATCCTGCTGCTGCTGCATTCATTTCAAAACAGCACGCTGCTTTCACAGACTGCACTGTGCTTCATGATTTCAAACATACACCTGAAACACATTTCTGAGTTGGTAAGAGTCACTAACCACACTGGAGAAGGAAAAAAAAAAAATAGATCTCAGTTTCCAGACATTGAGGCCATGTCCTGCCTCTCCTTTCCCAGACCTCTTTGAGGAAATGGTGCACCATAAATGCATGAAAAGCCATTTCAATTATTTCTACTCTATTTGCACAAGGACTCCTGACACTGATGTTAGGACGAACACCATCACCTAGTTTATTCTAGCAAAGTTGTCACACGGAAAACAGCACTTTGATAAAAGTTACGGCAAGTTTGCTGTGAGGAGGAAGGGAAATGCCACAATAAAGGTCTACCACGTGCACAAGCATAAAGCACTGAGCAGCCAATGTACAGTGGGTTCAGAGAAGAGGAAGGCTGCGCCCTGCCCATCTGCAAGTCAACAGCAGTCATTCAACTTCAACACACTTTTTTTTAAAAAATATGATTTCCTACTTAGATTTATTTTTCCTTTAATAACAGAGTTTAGCATTTCAGAGTTTGGCATTCTACACTCTTACACACTGTCCTTGTTTATTAGCATTTAAACACAAAAAAGACATCGCAAGACCTCCAAACACAAATAAATACAAAAACACAATATACAAGAAACTGAAATACAACATATAATAATGCTATTGGGA